CTCTCTTTCATACTGGTCAAGTTGAGTGATAACTAAGAGCAATTTGAAAATGTTCACATGCTTGCATGACTAACCGACTATGATTATCCACGAAATGTGGTGAGTTATCCAAACAAACAAAAAAGTTGAATGTTGAACAAATTCATAAAAAATACGTGAAAATACCAATTTGCTGATTATATCGTTGCTGATTTACCCCCTTCTGCTAGGCTGGATGGATTGATGGATAGGATGAAAGAAACACGAAATGCCCGCGTTTGAACATAGAGGTGCGCGCTCAATTGGTTGACATGCAAACGATCACTTACTCCAGATCAGATCATTTGGTTCTATATTGTTTATTGTCTTTATTCGGCTTTGTAGAAGGTGCTGAGTCTCCTGCCGCCCTCTCGAATAAACAGTATGAAACTCTAAATACAAATATATATATATTAATATATAATGAATAATGAAAAATATTTTTTTTTTTTTTTTGCTTAATCCATTACATGTTGCCTTGTTGCCTTTAACACAATTTGGTTTTATAACTTTTTTCTCTTTTACAGCCTCATCTACGAACATAATGTATTGTTTATTTTTTTTTTTTTTTTTTAATAATTTATCTCTACGTATCGCACAGAGTACGTTTATCGGTTAGTCCGTTTTAAATAATTACGGAAAAGCAATGCCCACGTACTCTGTTTTAATTTTATTTATTAATAAAATTAAATAATGAACTTCTTTTTCAGCTTTGCTGTCGCCAAGAAATTGCATAAATTATTAGATTTTAGATAACCTAAGTTAGCTGATAAATCTTTTAGTTCTTAAGAATTTTGAATATTATCAAAAATTATAATCATTTCCAAAGTTTTTCACTAATTTTGGGGAAATTTTCTTCTCTTCTCTCTCTCTCTCTCTCTCTTTGCTTTACCCTTTGCTATTGTCATATGCAAATGAAGATACGTAAGGACTTTCTTGAGATGCTGCGCGAGCGTGGCGACTCATTGGACCGTCATAGTCGATGGTATGATGTGAAGAAAAAATTTGAATCGGATGCTAGGTATCGTGCAGTCGAAAATTCCTTGTATCGTGAGGAATACTTTCAGGATTACATGCGTATGCTGAAGGATGAGAAACGCAAAAGGGAGCGCGAACGTGAAAAGGAACGTGAGCGTGAGAAGGAAAGAGAGAAGGAACGCGAACGTGAACGGAAAGCAGATCGTAAAAGCGATCGACGGGATAAGGAGCGCAGAAGTGATCGTAGCCGAAGTCGTGACCGTGACAGGGATATCAAAGAATCCAGGGAGAAAGAGAAGTCATCTAAGGACAAAGCTGAGAATAGAAAAAAACATGATGACTATGTAAGTAATGTAAAATAAAGAAACTCTAAAGTTATAAAATTTTATAGATCGCAGAGTTAGATCGGTTAGAAATTTAAACTGAAATAACGTATGTTTCGGGCACATCCTTCGCTATCGCTGCTTTCTCTTACACTACTTTCTCCCCCTTTTTTGTTTTCTATAGGAGGAGGGTGAACATTCAAGTAACGAGGACACTGAAGACCAATCTGCTAATGAACATGAAGATGAGGAAGCTGAGCGTTTAAAAAAAGAAAGAGACCGCCAACTGAGAGCCGAGCAAAGTATAAGGGAACGTGAAAAAGAGGTACAACGCACTTTGGCTGGCCATTTGCGAGATCGCGATAAGGAACGTGAATTGCATAAGCGTGAAGAGGCCATTGGACATTTCAATGCATTGTTAGCCGATTTAGTACGTAATCCAGACTTGACTTGGAAAGAAGTCAAACGTCAATTACGTAAAGATCATCGTTGGGAATTGGTTGAGTTTCTGGATCGTGATGTTCGTGAAAAGTAGGTTTTTAAGAGTAGTGTGCGCCACTTTTTAATATTTTTTTTGTTTTTTTACTTTTTTGCAATTGCAGAATTTTCAACGATCATATCGAGAATTTAATGAAAAAGAAGCGCGAAAAATTCCGTGAAATGCTTGACGAAATTTCGTCGTTAGAGTTGACGAGCTCTTGGAAGGATATCAAAAAATTGATAAAAGATGATCCTCGTTATTTGAAATATAATAATTCGGACAAATGCGAACGCGAATTCCGCGATTACATGGTTGACAAAACCATTTCGGCGAAAGTTGATCTGAAAGAATTGCTTAAAGAATGTAAGCTTATCACACATAAAAGTATCGAATTGGTTAAAGACAATCCGAATCATCTTAAAGAGATTGAGGATATTTTAAAAATGGATAAAAGGTAGCAGGAATTATTACTTTTTCATATCTTTCTTATTTTTTTGACTGTAATAATTTCCTTTAGATATTTAGTGTTGGATCATTTATCTGAAGAACGGACTAATATAGTGCTGGATTATTTGGAGGAATTACAAAAACGTGGTCCCCCACCGCCGCCAACTGCTTCAGATGTCGCACGACGCAAATAATAATCAAATAACATAAAATCTTTAGTTTTAAGCATATAATATAATATTTACTCATATCAACACACAAACACATATATGCATACAAACAGATGTAACACAATGCGAATTCTAGTGTAATTTACTTTTTAATGCCATTACAAATAATCAATATTTTACTTTGACTTCAATAACTTCGATGTTACTTTGTTAGTTTGAAAAAGTTCGCTAATTCGAGATGTATTTAAAGCATCCGATAGATCGAACGCTTTAGATTGCCAGCAGCAACCTTCGATATTAACGGATCCATCCAATGAAATAGAAGACGTGAACTTAAATTATATACAAATAGGGAAAAATATATTTTTCACGCCGCGTAAATAATAGAATTCATTTGAAACAAATTAGAGTTACCGTTCCTATAAGAGAAAAGCATTTCCCCAACAAAATTTGAATATCACCCATAAAATTTGAAAGCTCAGTATATTACGGAGTACTTTTGCACTATTGCAGTAGTTTACCATTTCGTAAGCTTCTAAATATATCATATTAAAGGTTTTACTACGAATTTCAATTAAAAATTATAAGTAAGGGAAGATGCGAGCAAAACAAGGCGCCTAAGAATCAAATTGAGAGTTTCTTTAGTTGAAACGTTGTTAAATGGCAATACCGATATTAAGATTCTAGAGTTTAAATTACTTCCAGCTGATCTCTACATCTACAAATTTATGCCACTAATAAATTGTGCTTTTATATAATTCTTATTAAATAAATTTGGTAAAAATTTCAAAATTTCAATCGTTTTTTTATTGAATGAAAAACAATGTTTTAATACGTGTCGTTTTTAACTTTTGCCTGCGTTGAAATTAAATACAATACAACTCTGCACATGCTGCTAACATCACTGTGAACGATTATTATTGTTGGCCTTTCGTAAAATGAAATAATAAGAAAACCCGGTCGTATATTAATATTAGTTAAAGGTTAATAAATTCGAAGCCAAAATGTCTTTGCTTGTTACGCTTTCAAGGAATATGATATATAGCGCCATGCAGTACGAAAAAACCATATTCAAAGTTGCGGACTGGCCGGCCTTTACCAGTATTTATAAGCGAAACTTATCATTTGAAGAAAAACGGGCTCGTGGGCCTTTAGTACGTCGTTATGGTTACAAGGATAAAATATTACAAGGGGGTCTGATACCTCACTGGGACAATGGTCGAAAATTGCCTATGCCCGATTATCGTCCTAAAAACCCATGGACTACAAAGCGAGCACTTTTTGGCCAAAACGACTATATTGACATTTTGGGTAACGATAGTTTGCATCCCACTCGTGTTTTATATTCGGTACCCTCTTGGTTACGTGGTGTTTCCGGCAACGAATACCAAGTGTTGTTACGTAAACGTAAAATTCTTAAACACACAGTTGCTCCCATCGCTAGACCGACAAAATGGAAACATTTACAAAAGCGCATTTTGTATTTATATAAATTCTTAAACCGTAAAACGAAGACTGGTGGCACAAATCAATAAATTAAGATATTAATGTATTGGAGTAAATGTAAAATATAGAATGAATTCTAACTTTTAAAGCAACAACGCAAACGAATTTAATTTGGAAACTTTTAGAAACGATGCAGACTGCTTTTAATCGCAAATTTAACGAAACGAAAGCTAATATATTCGAATCTTTTTTTTTTCAAAGAATTTTAGTTAAATAATTTTACTATAGTTGATGTATTTATAAATGTGCCACAACAAAATGTTTTTAAGCTATAATTGTATTTGAGTAATTTCAGTAATAACAAGTTTTCTAGAATATTTGGAACGTTTCATCATACATCATACATACAATAATGGATGGCAGCTATTGTAAGTGTTGTAAGAAAATAAATAAAATTAAGTTACATTTGATATGGACTTTTTTTTGGGTTTGTTTTACGGTTAAGAATATTGGACGAAGGGGAAAAGTCAAATACCAATTAATTAGCTGGTATGAGATTAAATGTCGCTCCTGGCGTTTCAGCTGTGGTTTCACTAAAAGTTTTTTCTGCGTTGTTAACCACAAAATTATCTTCCGTTTTGATTTCTTCACAAGCTTCCGGATCTATATCTTCACACAAATCAACTACTTCGTCGAAATCGCGTAAATCTAATTCGTATAAAGCTTTTTGAACTAAAGCAGCTAATTCTGGCGGTAAGTCCTTCAAATCATCGTTACGTTGTTTGACTATAGAATTCGACACCATAGTGGAAGCTGTTAATTTTCCACCTGAATCCGAGGCACTGGATGGTGTTTTATAAGTAAAATGGGTGGCGTTAGTTAATTTGCTCAATTCTGATTCATTGGCCTGATCATTAACAATATCATATTCTGAAGATAATATACTACGTCCGGATTCGGTAGATAGAAATGACATGCCATCATCTGATTGGTAGGCGTGCACAGTTTTTAATGATTCATCCGGTCCAGAGAACACAGCTGCCGATTCTCCATTTATCTGATTTTTGCAATGATTTTTAAGTGCACCGTTAAGTTTAGGCGAGCATTTATTATCTTTCTGATGCGTTAGAGCTTTGAAATCATCTTCGTTTGATGTACTAGAATCCACCATCGAAGGACAATAGCCGTGCAAAAGGTACATTGCCGCTGAAAATCCTCCTTCAGTTGAGGAGCCTCCCAACCCAGTAAGATTCTCAAAACGTTGCTCCAATTCAGCAATTTTTGTAGCCAAAATTCTGGAAAAAAGGTTTAAAAGGTCTAAAGTCTTATGAGCTTTCATTCCTAATAAGTACGAAAATCAATATGTGCCTTGATAGGAGTGGCCATTATAACATTATAACACTTGGTTCTTTTATGAAAAATTCTGGTGTTTGTATTTTGATAAATATTTATATCAAAGTTTAGATCTACCAAATAATTGATAAAGAATTTATGAAATTTTTAGCTATTTGATTAAGGTACGTTCTTCATTCTCTCTTATTTTTAAACTCTATTTGGTAAATTGATATTGCGTTTACAATAATCGTATGCCCTTGTAAGTGTTAGTTATGAAGTTTTCAATACGGAATGGCAGAAATTTGAACTTAATCGAGAAATATTCGACAATAATTCGCTGACTCGTTCATTCAATCATTCATTCATAGATTGTTTAATTCGTTCAATTAATCATTCACTCATTCGTTCATTCATGCATTCATGAATTAGGCAATGCGTAGTGGTGAATAATTAAATTATAATTCATACCGATTAGTTTTCTTTTGATGGCTTAAAGCCAGATTCTTATCATTAAGATTATCCAGTAACGTCATACACAATACTTTCAAGTCCTGTATAGTTTCGGTTTTTGTCGGCAAATCGATGCCATTTTCCAGTAGGTTCTTAACTAAAATGCGAGAAGTAAATATTTCGTTAGAAAATTTCAATAATGTATAAATAGATAAAACGGAGAATGAAATATTTTATAATTGTTAGGCATTCTTTTTTACCTTGTTTATGTGATAAAAATTTCCCATCATTATTGGACACATTACCCATTTTCATAATACCCTTTTTACGTTTACTTTCCAATAAAGACTTTTTCAATAATTATTTTACATAAGTTTTGATGTTAGTGAAAAGTATTTCAGAGAAAAACATATAATTAAATGCATTAGATTAAATATTTGTTAGAATTTTACATTACTTTTTGATAGATAGGGAAAAGCAATTATTTTATTAATTTACCTTATATTTATTTACCGATTGCTTAGTTAGTTCTATTTCATTCTCAGTGTTTTTGAGACGTTCATGCAGGTACTTATTCTCTAATATAATGCTATCAATATCCAGGAACTGCAAACAGAAATTAACAATTGATGATTTCTTAACGTAGAAGAATCACTCAATACCTTTGGATGTATGTCTTTAGCTTCCAGAGCTATTAACAGCTCATGATTTAAACGATGTGCTTTGCATTTGTAAGCGTCGCGCTCATTCGTAAGCTCCTCCTTCTCATCTATTAAGGCCTTGAAATCAAAAGCCAGCTGAGCATTCTGCTTAGATAAAAGCACTATTATTATTATTCTTTTCAATTTACTAACTTTTCTTTCTGCGAACCTTCTTCTTCAATTGTTCTAAGTGATTTATAAAATTTGAACGCTCTTCCTTCCATTTACATTGCAATTCTTTGTTAAACTTCTCGTTTTCGGGTAATGTCTCTTTGATTTCCGAGTCTTTGGAGTTTTTATTAGCTCTTAAAACTTCAATATCACCTTGCACTTCTGTAAGTTTTTGCTTTAAAGATTCCACTTCAGTGGTCAATTTAATGTTGCGCTCTCTGGTTTCATGTAGTATTTTAGCTACACTCGATTTGCTGTTCACACTAGTTGTCATTCCGCTGCCATCTTCGCTAGCAAGACTACCAGAGAAATCGGACAAACTACTACGTCGCAAGGCTGTGTAACGCAGCTGTAGAGTTTCTGCCATTAGTTTAAATTGATCACGTTCAGTACGAAATTTCTCCAATTCTTTACGCAATATACGCAAAGCTTCCATTTTACTTTGCAATTTCCGATGCAAAGCCGTCGCTTCTACACTGTAGTTTTCCATATGTTCACCAAACACGCCATCGTATTCATTTTTCAAGGATTCTTCGGCTTGTTGTGGCTGTTCTTTTTTACGATGCCGCCATAGAGATGCAGTTCCCTTCACCGTAAAGTGGTGAGCTTGAGGCATTTCTTCATCTTCAGACATTTCGTTTACATTTGCATGTGTTTTTTCCGCTTCTGCTTTAGTATAAGACAATTATTTATTGTTGAAAAATTGTTAACATATTTTCTTCTTTATACGAGAACATTTTAATTATTTCAGGTACGCAGTATTGCCAGCGTTGGAATACAAAGAAAAAAACTAGATTTAGTAACAGTGCTATCAATAATCACTTAAGTTTTAAACTTTGCAGTGTGTAATCATGTAAACAGTGGCGACAATGAATTGTGCAAACATCGCCAAGGGAGAGTGCGTGAAAGCAATTTCTCTTATTTTATGATCTGAATTTGTTGAATTTGTTTACAATTGAGATTAAAAACAAGTTAGTCTGTATTTGTTGAAAAAACCCGTCCCAAATTGGCTGCGTCTGAGAGTAATTCCAAAAACCCGTCCTAAAAATCTGTCTCCTAGATTTGCATTTGCAAAAAAAAAAACAGCTGCAAATGAAAATATAAAAGCTGTTGAACAATGAATTCTTCAAAAATTTAAAAAGAATTAATCACGAAGAATATATTATAACAGAACTCATTTTTGTGGAAAAATCTGTAGAAAAGAATATATGATTATTGAATGTTTTTCTGCAATAAAAATCTTCAAAATTTAAACACCGGATTTAATTTTATTAATTTTTTCAATTCTCAAATCGATTGAATTTACCAGTCACATAAAAATTATAACATTAATGACTATTACTTTTTGTCCATTCTTCCTTATTAAATTTATATACCATTAGATGAAGGCTACAAATATATACATTCCTTCTATAATATTTAAATTTCTATTATAAAGGGAGTTTTAAAAAATAATGTACATTATATCATGATATTTCGCAACTTTTTGCTTTATGGAGTTAGTCATTCTGTGCACTGAACGGCTTAGTTATAAATCATTGTCTAAAGAGTTGCAACACGCCATCATAGAATGAAGTCACGTTATCCTTCCAATCCCCCATCATTTTCCATGTTTGCTGTATTGCAGCTTTTTTTTTTTTCCTCCGACATTCTCCATCTTCTTCAACTTGTCTCCGATACATGCCCCGTCGAAGGAGTTCATTTCCTTGAAAAGACTTCGAGAATGTCGAAGGTCGTCTCCGTGCAGAATTCCTCACCGTTCGGTCAACTGCATAGATGGTCAAGGACATAAACGCATGGTTATTGGGGAGGGGCTAAAGATAATCTATAGTAGGGTAAAATTCCATAATTAATGAAATGAAAAATCAATAATGTGGACTTATCTCTTTCCTTAGGTGCATTATTTGGCATATCGTCCTTGGCCATAGGGCCGTTAGTGGCACTTCCTTGCATGAACCTCCCCATGATTGTTTAAACGGCTGTCTGTTTTCACTGATTTTTTTTTACTTTGTATTTTTATGTCGCCCACGCCTGAAAATAATAGTATAAATGTAAGCAATAAAGCACTAATAAAATTTTTGATAAGTTACTTACCGCATTTCTCCGGATCAAACCCAATGAAGTTAGTTTCGTTGCTAGAGCATCCCATAATCAACATGGATAAAAGTAATACTTCTTTACAGACTGCACTTAGACTCTTCAAGACTCCTTCCATTCATGTTTCTGTTTTTTTAAAATATTAAACATGAAGACCAACTTGGGCCGTCAGGCGGATAATAAAAATGTTAATTAATTTAATCTTTTAGATATTGTGAAGCATAAAAAATTTGTAAAGATATTTTGAAAAATCTCGACATTGCAATGAGACGAGCATTTCCGTTCATTTCTGTCGTTTTATTTCTTTCGCCTCACATACATTTTGCAGTGATTTTCCGAAAGCCTAACTACGTATGTATGATGCAGTTATCCCTTGTAGTGGAGACGTGCGTCAGTTGGAAGGACGTTTAAGCATAAGAGGCTACTGATGGAATTTTTGATGGACATGTGTTTTTGCTGTAATGGTCGACTATGCTCGATGGCATAGGTAGCCGTGTTTCTTAATTGAGCGGCTGAGTCGACATATTTTCTTCGTACACACGAACGATCAAATCTCTTATTGATATTTGAATAATCGTTTATCAAAACTTAAATAAGAAGAACCGCAAACGATGAAATCTTATCGCGAATTATGAAAAATCTGAATAGTTCGTAGATTATTGAACCATGTACGATTCATTGATTTAGTCGAGAAGAAAAAAAAACAAAGTTCGTAAGGTAAAGTCAGAAAAAGTAAACGCTAAAGAGATGCGTTTATGAGAAACGAGAAGCATTAATGGACCTTTTTTCACCCATGAAGCCCGTTTGTAGACGCAATAGTAACAAGCACGCTACATCTTTGCTATTGTAGTTGTTTACTCGTAACTGTTGCTCTTTACTTGGTTTAACAATAACAAATGATTTTTGTATGAATGAATAAACGTATGAGTAAACTTGAATTTGGCCAAGTTTTTATGATTTTCAATAAACTTTTTCAAGGTAAGACTTTGCGACATGCAATGTAAGCAAAGAACGTGGTACGCCACGCTCGATAATAATAAAGCAACAGGGTGTTTTTTTTTTTTTTTTTATAAAATACTCTCTCTTTCTTTTCTTAGAGGTATTAATAAACATTGTATGTTGCTATAGTTCTTGTTTGATTGTTTGTAAACAATTTTAGGAAAGCAATTGTCACAAGTTCATTACATTATAAACAACGCAAAACAAATTTCAAAATAACGAAATTAATTGTTATGCCGGCCGGTTAATATGCTGCAGATCTTTGCAATAAAAAAAACAAGTAAATGTTATTCGATGTTGCAGGCTAAGCAACTGAGCAGATTCACTGAATTATGTTAAGGAATAAAAAGAATTATACTCGACCACGATCGAATCTTTTATACCCATAGCTGATTTCCTAAAGAAAAGACTGAAGAAAAGAAAAAGCTAAACTTCCATATTCTATAATGTTGGCGTAGCAGGTCTTGTCCAGATTCAATGGCATCCCCCAGAGAGTACTAATGCAAATTTGTATCGTTGCACTATGTAGGTATTGTAGCCATGTTCTTTGATCGATTTGATTCAACTGCATTGCCAACTTGCGGGCAAGAGGAAGAGATGGTCTCAGACTATGTTGCACTGTGGTCGTGTTGACCTGATTGTTGCATTTATGAAACCTGAACAATTTTAAACACAGACATTACGCAGATAGGCGGACTGATGGACAGACAAAGAGAAAGACGGATGGTCAGATATGATTAAAACGGTTCAGAATTTGATGCCAATCGACGAATATCTGGGGTATGGTCCTGTATGGGTGTTGCAAGCCTTTTGACAAAGTGAATATGTCGGTCATCCTTCGGTGATGAGCTATATTGAATATATAAATTATATTTTTGAATTATGGTTGTCATAATAAGAATTACTTAGCAACCGTTATGCAGACGATACATAAATTCCAATGCATTTACACAAATTTTTTCGTTACACTATTTTGCATTCAGTATTTATTGATCAGTTCCTTAAGTGAATTCTTCATCTTTAACAAAAAAAGAAATTGTATTAATATTAATTGCGAAATCAAAAGAAATTAATAATTAGTTGATTATTATGATATCAAACAATTAAAATAAAATTAAAGAAATTTGAATTTTGTTTAAATATATATATATATATATATATATATCTTTTCTTTTGAATAAAACATATGTATATAATATGTTTGTCCATAAACATGCTCGAGCACAATACGCACAATATTCTGCTGGCGATACCAGTTCAGATGAGGAGGAAGAAGAAGGCGATATATTGCAGGTGAAAATCGAATTTTTTTTGTTTAAAAAAAAAGCAAAAATTTTTATTATTAAAAATATACATATATATATTTATATAGTTTTTACGTATGATGTAACAGACTATATGTTGCATAAGTTAGTGCATTTTGTTTGTTCAATATCAATAATATAGAATTTTATTTGATTATTATAACACGCGACATTATTTACTATTACGCAATCATTTCATCAATATATAACTCTTATCTAACATTTCTTTTGTTTGTCGTTACAGCCTCAGATTTTACTATATGCTAATCATTAGCAAAAAAAAAAAAAGAAAAAAAAAAACTTCATTCTAAGTTAATAAACTTTAAAAGCTTAGATCATTTTGCATTTTGAGAATATTTTTAAGAAATTTTATTAATGTTTTGGAAAAATGTATTCAAAAAAATTTTTTATCCTTTTTTATCCTATGATATGAACATGAATGGATATAGTCAGCATGTCGATGCCTTATCTTCACAGCCAATAAATATCTTTATCTATTTTCTTTTTTCTTGGATTTTAAGCTCGCTTTAATACCTAACGACGACTTTTTATGATTATTATTAGATTTATTCGATAAAGAAACCGTTTATTTTGAAAGTGACTCAAGTCTATTTTTTGTCTTCGTTATTGAGACATGTATGTAAAGGTTTGCATTTCAATCAATTTAAAGGTAGTAAAAAGATCATATTTGAGCACGTCCGACCATTTGAGACGCCTTACACCATTTCTCCGAGTATTATTTCCTCTTATTCATTTCTCTTGATAATAATCAAAAAGATCAAAAATCAAGCATTATTTCAATGTAAAGGCATACTTCTCATAAAAGTTCGCGAAATATTGAGGCAACTCCCAAGCATCATACGACGTGATCGAAATTTAGCAAAAGTAATTTATTTCACAAAAATTTTCTTATTGTCTAGCTTCCGTCATAAAATATTAGAAATAAAATTTTCCATCCGTGGAAGAGCGCGGTGACAACTAACGACGGTGAGAGAATAGACCTGTGTTATTCAAAGATTTTTTCCTTAAGTTGGAACTATGGACCAATTTTCAGCATAATGTATTAAAAATTAAATCTTTTTGTAAAAGGTTTGCTCATCTTCCATAGCCCATCTCATATGGCGTGCGATTCAAGAAATAGAATCATGCGGTTCAAATTTGCATCACTTTATTTTTATGCCATCGTAAAATATTAACAATCAAGTCATTTTGGCATATCTTACCTCGGGTCAAGGATGAGCTAGTCGAAATTTAGGATCCTCCCACATAATTTTTTATAGTCGCAGGCTCAAACAGTCATATCACTTGTAATAGTCACTCGATTATCGAATTCTGATCTTCCACAACAACCACCAACACAGGGAGCTATTACTTTCACTTTATGTGCAATTCGTCTCAAATTTTTCACATTTATTTTGCGAAACACTTTACTCTTTACGTGTAAAAATCAGAAAAAAATTCTTCACTAGGCAGCGACTTCACTTCTTTCTGACAATCACCGTTTGCCTACGGCTTAAGGCTAAGGTTAGAGTAAAAAAGAAAAATTATTATCATGGTCACGCCCCTTCGACGATTCAACGATTGAACGTACGTCGTCGATCATAATCCTATGAATAATCATAATGTTAGCCAAGACATGGCCGCCAAAATAGGCTAATCTTGACGCTACGTCACATGACCTTGACCTTATCAGGCCAAGTTTCGATTCTTATCTAAACACTACTCAGTTTTTATTTGTTGTCTGATTGACCGTTCAAAAGTGATAGGTTTTGTTCGAAAACACTGTATAAAGAGTATAAGAAATGAGGAGAATATTCCGTCTATATGAGTATCCCTTAGCGGCAATAGGAACTTATCGACTACAATGGCGTGAACTGCGATTAGAGACTTTGCTGTTGGACAATATTGAAAAATTTAATGCTACGAAAACCGTAACCGTAACATGTTAGGCTGGCAAGGAAAAGAAATGACTGTTTCTTATGAATGGAAATTTTCTTATTGGAAAATTTTCTTATGTTATCAGCTTGAAAGTTTCATAAGATCTGCTAGGATGACGTTTATCGTTTATGAATTTGCTTAAATGGAAAAGTATGCTTGTATCGCTGTTGCTAATCAATTTTTGCTCAATATGCTAGAATTAACCTAACATATTTTTAAGTATCTTTTGACAATTAATGAATAATTTAAGAAAAACAAAAGGAAGAAAAAAACAATTAAAATATTATCTAAGTGTTGGTATTTTGTATTTTGAATATGTAATTTTGCGCTTAGCGCACATATGCTTGCTGATGTCTACATGCATTCTAAAATATTTTTGAAACTAACACAACTCTCTGGTCTTGTTTTTACTTTGCATTTTGATAAATTAATTTTTTTTTTTTTGGATTAATATATCCGCAAATACCACTTTGCACATGGACAACATGTTCGACGGCATGTTGCTACGTCTGCATGTTTCCAAAAATGCATGTTTCCACAAATGCGTATTTTTTTTTGTATTTTATACCAAACGGCTTTTGGAATATATTTGAACGTATAAATATAATAATGGCTACCGATGCTGATGAAGCGCAGCGTCGTCGAGAAGAATGTGAAAGAAAGGCTCGGCGGGGGGAAATGGATCCCCGTTTGGAATTCACGTTTCAATTGTTAATCGATGCCACTCAATTGCCGCGTCATCAACTAATGGATTATATATTTGAGGGAGATATGGTAATATTATGCTCCCTTTTAGCGCTTCAATTTTTTTCGATTTTTATTATTTCAATATTGTTTGATTGATTGATCACTCTGCAGTTGGATGAAATCAATCAATTGTTTTTACCGAATATGAAGAATAAACTTTTATGGTTCTATCAACAAGTGGACGAGCCTGAGACGCAGCCATTACAAGATCCTAATAAGCCGAGCACGTCGCGAGCTTCAACAACTCCAAAAACACCCCAATGTAAGTGCGTAAAAATTTGCCAAAGTGAACTTATTGACTTATTTATTCTCTCTCGCTCTCTCTCCTTTCATTGTTTCTTGTTTCTGTCTTAAGGCGGTGGCAGTTCACCTGGCAGTTCAGTTATCGCCAAACCTAAAAAACTATTTTTAACAGATGGCTGGACCTGTGCTTTGACCGGTGTTTGCATATACATTTTTCGTTTAAATACCAGTAAACAATTACCCGAGGAGGGTTTTCAGAAAGATTTGTATAACGAGATTCAATTTGGTAAAAATTAAGTTTTTTTTTTTTTGACTGAGAGTTTCGGTTTTAGATATTGCGGAATAATTGATGCGGAAAACGTTGGCTTGGTCACCTCTATTGAGCGCATAGTGGAGCATGTTTTCATGCAAGCTTTGGCCTATCCAAATACGGAGGGCGATGAAGAAGATGTCAGTTGTGGTTTAATTAAAGGTCAACTTTTGCCCGGATTACGATCATTCTGCAGTGCTCTGCGTGTCTGCGAGCAAGTTTGCAATACCTATAACGTTTTCAAGGATGGGCTTGATTTGTTTGAAGCTATCCATGATTTGGGTGAAGTTAAAGATATGTCTAAAAATCAAGAGTTTTGCCATCAACTAGAAGAGCGGGTGGTTAATTGGATAAAGGGAATTATGAAAATTTTAGGTGAAAGTGAACAATTGCGAAGAGAAAATGATTCGAGTGGACCTCAAGATGAACTCGAATACTGGAAGAAACGTGGCGCTCAGTTTTCTCAGCTTCTTAGCTATTTACATGAAAAGGAAGTACAATACACCTTGGAATGTCTAAGCTTTGCGGGATCTCGAACGTTGCGAGATTGGAAAGAAACTGATCGTAAAATAACATTTTGCTATAATGAGGCCCGTGATAATTCAAAATTTATACAAGCTATGGAAAATTGTTGTCATTCATTGTATCTCGATGATCCGGTTTGCATGAAAGAGTCCATTCTAAGTCTTCTACAGACGGTCCGTTTGATTTATACTGTATCGCAATTCTATAATACATCGGAGCGTACTTCAGCTCTTATGGTTAAAGTAAGTTAAATATGTATTCAAGTCTCAAAAGTACACATATATTTGATTGGCTTTAGATCACTAATCAAATGATCGAAACGTGCAAATCGTATATAACTTGCCGTTGCAAGGAGACAATTTGGTCGCAAGATCGTGACTTGGTACGATCTAAGCTTAGCAATTGCATTAAACTTAATCATATTTATCGGGAAACATATTATTTGGTACGAGAACAACCTTTTCTGCCCAATCAAACGCCCTTTGGCTTTTCGGAGAATTTCGTTTTCGGAAAATTTGATACCTTTTGCGATCGTTTATCGAAAATTATTAGCATGTTTAATCTCATCGATGATTATAACCATCTCTTTGATCGACGATTAGAGGGTCTGCTTTTGGGTGAGGCCTTGGAAGAGGCCAATAATCAATTTGAAGAAGCCAAGAAAGACGTACTCTCAAAAAAGTATGATTATCTCGATCATCGCAACGCAGAATTTAATAATGACTATGAACGATTCATAGTTAAAATTGACACTTTAAAGGAAACCATTGCTAATTTAATAGAAACTCAGTTTGATACCGTATGGGAAACGCCGCAATGTATACGTTTTCTAATACGATTTGAAAAAGTTAGTAAGAAGATTCCTTTAACGAAAATGGATGAGAAATATGCACGCATTATAAGATATGTGGAAAAAGAAGTGGATCGAATTTTGAAAGTATTCCGCAAACAAAGAGACGATCCACCCATTTGTCGTAATTTTCCACCAATAGCTGGTCGCATATATTGGAGTCGTTCGTTAGAAAGCCATATGACCGAACTAATGACTGCTGTATGCGATCACGAGGTTCTAAGTAAACTACCTCCAACTAAGGACTTAGAAAATCGCTACAACCACGTCATGGATGTATTGGGAGAATACGAAGATGAAATAGTTGCCATCTGGTTGGATCAGGATGTTAGTGTAGCGGACGCTTGTTTAGTGCAGCCTCTATTAGCCTTGCAGGGCGATCGTCTGTTCGTTAATCTTCATCCTACCATATCCTTGCTTATTAGAGAGGCAAAATTATTAGCTAAACTCAAAATAGAACTTCCAATAGTGGCCGCGACATTAATGTGTCGCGAGGAGTATTTTCTATCAATACAGGACTCAATGAACGTGAGTGAGTTTTATTGACTTGAAACGAGATTTGCTTAAACAATTCTTTTCTGTCCAATTCCAGTGTCTCATTAGTATGTTTCTAACTACCGTACGTGCTGTTAAACTTGAAGTACGTCCATTATTTTTACCACAGCTGGTACGATTGACTGCCATGCTCAAACCGGGTCTAACTAGTATCAATGTAAGTTCCGATAATCGCACAATTATTTGGACGATAAAGTGACAATGCATTTAAAAGGGAGAGAATTATGGAAAAGATATGTATTTGTCCTTAAACAGAGCGAGAAGGGAGAAAGTGCTGCAGCGAAGGGGCTGCTTTGGCATGGGGTGCCGGAAAAAGATTTGGCGGGACCTCGTAGGGAAGAGAAAGAGATGCGGGGGAACTGAGGAAAGGAAGTAAAAAATTATCACCGTTAATGAGGGACCGATAAAGTGAGGAAGGGAGGGAGATAAAGAAACAGAGGGGGAGAGAGAGAGAAAGAAAGATCACGCATTGAACATTTAATTCGAACTGTACGATATAAAGGCGCATATGCTTACGGTACTCACTTTATTGTTGTAGTCCGTTATCAGCTTCTTTTTTTTTTTTTAAGCATTTACCTAATTAGCAAAGTATTCCAGAATGTTTCCTTACGCGAATTTCTCGAAATTAAAATAAATGTTAGACTGCTTGTTGCTATAATTTAAAATATAATCTTCACAGTGGACCAATCAAAACTGGAATAAATTTTATGAGCGTTGCAAACAAGCTATCGAAACATTTAAGGTGCTGGTCGCTCGTATACACGACATCTATTCTAATCGTATCCTGCACGTTTTGATGTGCATGCAAGAGATTTCATTGCCAGTGTTACCGGGAGGTAAGAATAAATTCTAGAAAATTTTTTCCCAATAATTATATTGATTGAATGCACAGAAGACGAAATTTGGACGGTGGATGAGTTTCTGGAAAAGAGCGAGGAGGCTTGTCGGTGGGTCGAAGTTTTAATTTCTTTCGGTCTTACAAAGATTTAATGATTCTTATGTCTTATTGCAGGAAAGCGGCCATTGAATTAAATCGCAAAAGTCAAATGGTTTCCGAAGCGGTAGAGGAAGTTCTAAATTTAGTTGATAAAGCTACGGAAACATTTAAAGAGATAGCTGGCGATGATGTGATCACGCTATTTGATGGTATTATTAAATATTATAGATACATATATATATATATATATATATATAGAGAGAGAGAGAGAGAGAATATATTTTAAAAGTAAAGATATTCGCTTCTTTTTAATAAAAAAAAAAAAAAAAAGGATCGCCTAAAGAACATCAAGTTTCCGCTCGTAAAGCAGTCGATGCAGGGGTACCTAGTACAAGCGCTGCTGGTGCGGCGGCAACTTCGTCCGGAAGTCATGTAAATGCTGGCGATGCTGGCGGTGTTGGTGGAAGTGGCCAACAGCAAGACTGGAGTATTTTGTGGTCATGTTTTGATAATCCTTTAAGTCTATTGTCGACCAGTGAGAGTTTACCCAAAGGGATGCAGGTCAGCTTTTAAAGGGCAGGAGATTTTTTTTTGAAAATACAAATTCATTTAATTTTTGCCATTTAGGATATGGTCTGTAATGCAGTAGTGGAAATGCGTCGCTATTACAGCCGCAAGGTAATCGATGTTCTAATCAAAGTTATACGAATCACTTTAGATACAATACGACGTCGATTTGTGGATGATGAAAACGATGGGGCCTCGAGAAAGCCTATATTCGCTTTATATGCTCAACTGCAAATACCCAGTGTCGTTATAAAACCTAATTTAGATGAACTGCAAGAAATTCTGATAACGGCTGGAAAGAATATAACCGGTATAGCTAAGGGGGTGGCTCAATGGACCAGTGGCAAAGAAAATCCGGTATAAGATTTGCGGGAGATAATTGATTTTTTTTTTTGTATTATTCGTTTTCTTAAATTCAGCAAGTTTCTATAACACCGCAACCGAGGCAGGGTCGCAATCATAACACAAAGCGTCGTAAATTGTACACATTGACTTCGGAAGAACGTCCTCAAATGCCTTACATGTTGAAGTCGTTCTATTCGGCAATTATGGATAATAAAGAGGTGGCGAAGGCTTTAAATTTGTTATCGAATTGCACAAAAAATATTAAACCCGAAATACAAACTTATATAAAACGTTGGAAACCGTATCATTTCTTATGGAAGAACGACCGTACTACACGACAATTAATGGAATACGGTTTACAAGAATTTGAGACGACTCTACGTTGCTTGGCCGATTTAGATTCTAACCTCTTGATGGAGCCCGAAATCGAAGTGTTCGGCCAGTGTGTAGCCATCTATAATGAGAGATTGAAATATGGTCTAGCCATTGAAATTAAATGTGAGTTTAGAGTTTATTGCTTTCGTATCCGTTTCCTACCATATGAATATTTCCTTTTCCAGCTTGTAATCATAAGATTGGTCAAGCTATGAAGAAGAAATATAAAAAAGAAATGGATTACGTTTATGCTGTCATCAATGAAATGGATCGTAAATTAGATCGTCCTATACGAGATTTAGATGATGTACGCATGGTTATGGAGACTTTAAGTAAAATACGGGAACAAGAAGTTGATATGGAGTTACGTATCGATCCCATAGAAGTAAGTTTCTTAGATATGCAAATATCGTCATCGTCGGTTGCATCAAGAGCATTAAGTAATTTTCTGATTTTAGGAAGCGTTTAACGTGCTGACTCGTTATGAAGTGCAAGTGGAACGAGAACAGTTCGATTTAGTTGATAATTTGCGAGCAACATTTCAAAATTTACTCTCATGTGCTTTGCAAGCTCAAGTAAAGCTACTCGATATGCAACCCTCTTTCCAAGATGATCTCAAAAATAATTTGGATAGATTTAAACAGGACAAAATTGCTTATGTCAATGAGTATCGTACGGCTGGACCCATGCAACCTGGTTTGACGCCACGTGAAGCCTCCGATCGATTGATTTTGTTTCAAAATCGTTTTGAAGGTATGTGGCGACGCTTGCAGACCTATCAAAGCGGTGAGGAGCTATTCGGCTTGCCACAAACTGATTACCCGGAATTAGGCCAAATACGCAAAGAACTTAATTTACTGCAGAAGTTGTACAAACTCTACAATGATGTTATAGATCGAGTAAGCAGCTATTATGATATACCCTGGAATGAGGTGGACATCGAAGAAATCAACAATGAATTGATGGAATTTCAAAATCGTTGTCGCAAATTACCGAAAGGTTTAAAAGAATGGCCGGCTTTTCATGCTCTTAAAAAGACAATCGATGATTTTAATGATATGTGTCCCTTGCTTGAATTAATGGCGAACAAGGCAATGAAGCCACGGCATTGGCAACGCATTATGGACGTTACACGTTACACTTTCGAATTTGATTCTGAAGGGTTCTCCTTAAAAAATATTTTAGAGGCGCCTTTGCTCAAGCATAAAGAAGACATTGAAGACATTTGCATAAGCGCGATGAAGGAAAAAGATATAGAAGCCAAGTTGAAGCAAGTAACCAATGAATGGTCGGTTCATGAATTGCAATTTATGAGTTTCAATAATCGAGGAGAGCTATTGTTGAGAGGCGATACTACAGCCGAAACTATTGGCCAATTGGAAGATAGTTTAATGGTTTTAGGTTCATTGTTATCGAATCGTTATAACGCTCCCTTCCGTAAACAGATACAACAGTGGGTTTACGATCTATCGAATTCCAATGAAATCTTAGAACGTTGGCTTTTAGTTCAAAACATGTGGGTCTATTTGGAGGCCGTTTTCGTAGGCGGTGATATTGCCAAGCAATTACCTAAAGAAGCGAAACGTTTCTCAAAAATCGACAAATCTTGGCAAAAAATTATGCAAAGAGCGCACGAAACTCCGGGAGTTGTGGCTTGTTGCGTGGGCGATGATTTATTGAAGCAACTTTTGCCGCATTTACAAGAACAATTGGAAATATGCCAAAAATCGTTAAGTGGGTATTTGGAACGTAAACGTATGATGTTTCCGCGTTTCTTTTTCGTCTCCGATCCAGCTTTATTGGAAATACTTGGTCAGGCGTCCGATTCGCATACCATACAAAATCATTTACTCTCGATATTTGATAATACTAGCCATGTGAAATTCCATGATATCGAATATAATAAAATGATGGCGATTATATCGAGCGAAGGCGAAATGATACAACTGGATCGTGCCATAAGGGCTGAGGGCTCTGTCGAGACATGGCTAACTCAATTGCTGGTCACAGCACAGCAGTCATTGCATTCAATTATACGTACCGCTTATGCGACCATTAATGATCCAAATTTTACTTTGCTTGGCTTTCTCGAGAAGGTACCGGCTCAAGTTGGTTTGCTGGGCATACAAATGATTTGGACACGCGACGCGGAAATGGCTCTGATGCAGGCCAGGCATGAGAGAAAAGTCATGTCGGAGACAAATAATAAATTTCTCGATATGCTAAACACTCTTATCGATCAAACAACGCGAAATCTAACGAAAATGGAAAGAACAAGTTTCGAAACCTTAATCACTATACACGTGCATCAGCGTGACATATTCGACATATTGGTAGGGAAGTTTCCTATTTACATACAAATATGATTGAACTGAATATGCGATGACATGTTGTTGTATTTACAGTGTCGCATGAATATTAAGTCAGCCAATGACTTTGAATGGTTGAAACAATGTCGATTCTATTTCAAAGAAGATCTAGACAAAACTTGGATATCCGTGACCGATGTAACATTTACTTATCAAAATGAATACCTGGGCTGTACCGATCGTTTGGTAATAACGCCTTTAACAGATCGGTAAGGCCGAGATACATACTTAGCAAAATTTCACTGCTTTTTTCAAACAACATTTCGACTTATTATTTTGTCGAAGATTTTCATAAAATTATTATTAACTTTCTTATCTCTTTTTCTATTCATTTTATTTGTAGGGTAATGGTATCCATTTAAGTTACTTTTTCATGTATTGATCTTTTTGTGTGTGCCTTTCAGTTGTTACATTACTTTGGCTCAAGCCTTAACATTGAGTATGGGTGGTGCGCCCTGTGGTCCGGCTGGTACTGGCAAAACAGAAACGGTTAAGGACATGGGCAAGACACTGGCTAAATATGTGGTCGTATTTAATTGCTCTGATCAAATGGATTACAGGTTAGTTAATTTTCTATATATGTATATGTGTGTATGTGTATGTATGTGTATGTATGTATGTATGTATGTGTGTGTATGTGTGCGTGTGTGTGTGAGCATGCATGCAATGAAATAAATAAACAATTTTATGTGCTGGTGCACTGATGGTACATATGTGGGTAGTAAACAGATACCTGCAATTATATTTAAGTCTGACTGCACATACGAGTGAACGTTGGCGTAAGTGTGTTTAGGAATGATGTGTTGTTTTTGGTTGAAATTAATTGTTTGCGATAAAACATTTTGTGTATTGAATACAAAAGTAATGAGTGCCACATATTGAACTTTCCAAAGCATATATATATACATATATGTATATATTTGTTTTATATCAATCACCGGCAGATGAAGGGTATATTCATTTTGTCCAGAATGTTTGCAATGCCTGTCAACAGTGTAAACAGTCTCCTGGCCGCAAATATGAATATATCGCCTATAAATTTGCAAAAGAATTTGGAAGTGACCTAAACTTTTCAAAGGACGCGCCTAAAGCGCCCGTACCCCTATATAACACACACTTTTATTTTGAAATTAGAAAAAAATCAACTGCACCCACTCCATACTATAGAGCATGAAAATTTAATTCTTTGCCTTATTTTTAGTCTTTCTTAACATAACAGCGATGGGTATAAAAGATTCAGTCGCGACCGAATATAATTTTTTTACTTCTTTTTTTTTGTAATACATTTTTAATACAATTCTTTTAAATACGTCAAACTACACATATGTGTATGTATAAGCTTTTATACCTAAGAAAACAAAAAAAAAAAAAAAAATATAATAATAAAATATTTTGAGAAAAATTTACCCTTACCTTTAAGTTAAAACGAAACGAAACTGAGAAGAAAGTTTGAAATATTTTTATATGTTCGTATATTTACGTTTAGCCTTAAATTCCACTCAATCTTTTATGCCATATATACGTTTATATTATGCAAGAATATTAAAGGGTCGCATGGTACTAATCTGAAATCATATAAATCGTAACGAGAAAGTTCAAATTCCTCAAAGTTATCGCTACCTGAGCATAAAAAGTCTTTGATTATCATTTTTTATGCCCTACATCACTTGTGGTACGGGATATGTTAAGTTAGTGAGAACATATGTAACACCCAGTAGATTTGCAGATGGATCCATCTTTTAGTGTACCGATAAGCCTATCTGCCCGCCTGTCTGCCTGATGTCCGTCTAAGTATTCTTGTGTTCATGCTGCAGCTCGTAGTTTTTGGGATATTTTGATGAAATTCGGTACGCAGACTTACTTTCGCCCAAGGATGAACGTTGTTGAAAACGCTTCGGATCGATCAACTTTTTCGATGACTTTTCAGAATACGACGTTATATGGGGAAAAATTGCAATTTCCCATATTTCTTGACCAAAGTGCCTAAGTAGTAATATTTCGGTATTCCAAATTGGCGTGAAAACTTTGAACCGGTTGGGAGCAATTTTTTGAACTTCCTCTCATCTAACGTAAATTGAAGTGTCAGATTGTAAATGTTGATGCAAGAGAATCAGTTTAAATGCTATTCTTGCCTTTTGCGTATCAATTTAAATACATATATATATATATGAAAATCACGATATTAAAATGAATCAAACAGTTTTTGTCAATTTCTCGTTTTATAGATTTAGTCGACTTGGCAAGTGAACCATTTTTATATGCGTCTTTTAAAGTTCAAAAGCTGAATTGTGTCTATTAAGATTCTAGTCTGAAGCTGCATCGACCAAAAAAAACTAACTAAAAATAACTAAATTTGTAGTAGACTACATAGTATTAGGTGAATGCGTACAATTATTTCTATTTTTAGCGGAAAAAGTGGAAATTTATATGGTGGGCGGGATGTGCTTTATGAGCAGCGAGTAAAAAAAAGGAAAGCAAACGTCTTTTTCATATCGCCGGGTAGGCGTAGAAGGTGTATCGTTTGACCCGCAAATATGTAGGCAATAATAGGCATTACAATAGACGGACAACCGGACAGATGGAGAAAAGGGACATGCTTGAATTTGTTGAGCTGAAGTTATGCCCTGGGCGTTAGCAGCGTTTTGAAATCAATGAATATCATCAACTCATTCTTCGATGAGTATAAAAACAAAATAGATTTTGTTGTATGAGTAAAGTCGAACTAGATCTTTAGATCATTTAAATGAATGAATGAAATGCACATATGTATGAATTTTTGCATTTTAAATGCTCAGTATTTTTTTCTTTGCTTCACTATTACTTATACATGACAAATGTGTGAAGAAGAAGTGCAAGAATGCATTAAGTCAAGTTGTATACATGCGTACAGGCTACAACAAATAAATTTATTTGAAGTTTTTCATTCCTTCCTAATATACATTAACATATCATATATATATCCAAGAGTGATGTCTCATATATAGCATTAGCTTTGAATAATGATAAATTTACATTTACAAAAAAAAAAAATAAGAAGAAGAAATAAATTCTTAACACGTTCTATATTATGTAGGGGTTTAGGCCGCATATATAAAGGATTAGCACAATCTGGCTCTTGGGGTTGCTTTGATGAATTCAATCGCATTGAGTTACCTGTATTATCAGTGGCAGCGCAACAAGTCGCTGTAGTGCTTACAGCGAAAAAGGAAAAGAAAAAATCATTCATTTTCACAGATGGTGACACCATTGAAATGAATCCTGAGTTCGGTATATTTATAACAATGGTAAGCACACTCGTAAAGCCTGTTATTATTAATCAAGTTCTTCTTTACTACTCTACATATGTAAATATTATTATTATTATTTTTATTTAGCCAGAGAACTAAATTCTAAGATTAAAGACTCAAAGCCCCAGCATTTAAGACCTCAGCGCATTTGAGACTCAAACTCATGACCATTGACTTTTTAGCGGAGATTGCTTGCCCACTCGACCACTCAGACGTATACACCATAGAAAAGTTAATTTTTCATGGAGACTTTATTGAGCTTCTGTATATAGAAATAGTCTCCCTGAGAATAGTTTAATGTAAAATTAAGCTAAAGATATGAGAAGTATTCTATATCATGGCCTTAAAATCTTGCTTTCGAAAATGAACTTTCGAGACATTTTAAAAGTAGAAATCTAATAGGATGGCAAAGGGCAAGTTCTTTCGTAATTAAAAACAAAAGCATTTGAAGTTGAAGAATGATGGGCGTGTCTCTCAATGAAGTTTCGAAACATTTCACAGGTCGAATTCTAATAGGATGGCAAAGGCAAGTTGTTGCTCAGCAATTGCAACATGGTCTGATACGATCAAACCTGCACTGCAAAAATGTCATTCAGAGTGAAATTTAACAAGCTATCTTTGGCGTGTCCGAAAATTTGTAACGTGTCACATAAGCTTTTGAAAAGGAGCTGATGCGTTGCTTTCCTTATCCACTGAACTTTGTTTAGTGTGCACTTGGTAAGTAACTGATGTCGGATGTTGAATATAGTCCTCTTATATTCCACGCTAAATAGCATATAATGCATTTTATGTGGTCGCCTTGACCTGACAACTAAAATTGCCCGCTAAATTGAAAGGTAGGAAAGAAGTTTTAGAACAAACCATTATTTGTGTTGCGCAAAATTAATCTTCCGGTAAGTTATGTTTAGTTTTTCGCATGAATAGTCGTGTAGGTGCCGACTATCCAGTCTGTGTTCGTTAGTTCAAATTTTAATGGGTTCAAATTGTAATCACTTGAGTTGCAGTAAGAGCGTGTGGTCAGTCGGTAAAGGCATAATACCCACTAGGCTGCTGTCCTTTTCCTGTCTCTTTCTCTTTCCTTATAAATAAAATTAGTAGACGTTTGAGTATTTAAATGGCTAATGGTCGCTAAAAAGTATTGCCATAAAGCGATGCTTACGCTTACATAACACATTACCGTTCTTTTCTGGTATGAACATATGACGGTGAACAACCGTGTCCATAAAGAAGAAGTGCAGACGATAGGCAGATACTGTTTGTTAACTTCATTGCCAGTGTAGTAATATATGAACGGAAGCTTAATAACTAACGACATGACATATATAATATGTGGAATTTGACTTTATTTAGCCTTAAGTTTTTCGGACAATGCCATGCATTTTCTTTACGTTTCACCAACACAACTACTCATCTTGATTGTCTTTATTTCTATTCTTATTTCTCCATGGGTGTGAGAATATATTATTAATATTGTGTATATGTTGTTTCTACGGTGATGTTTGTACCACAATTTAAATGCACATTTAATTAATCACTTAATTAATCTATAATTCCTTTTATATGCTTTGCCTGCTAAGTTCTTACATTTTGTGACGGCTAATTTGCTTGTTTGTCTTACTTTGATTAAATTAACATTTTTCCTGACTTGTCTTTCTTTCCATTCTTCAGTTATGTTAATATTGTGGAAGTGTGAACGGGAACGGGAGCGGGGAGGAGAATATACATGTTTAGGCGTTTACAAAAAAAAAAAAAAAAATTCATTTTACTTAAGCATGCCTTAACCGGAAGGATATTGGATTTATCTAATTTTGTATTTCTCTGTCGTTTTGTGTTTGTGTGTGTTATATGTTTCTATTTTATCTGACTTAACGTGACAGTTATTGATAAGTTTTAAGGAAGCCAATGATAAATTGATTTTTGGTCATCCTGAAGGAATGATTAGAAGGTTGAATTGTTTTCTCTCTTAGTGTATATATATGGAATATATATACGAATAAAATGAAAACAAATAAAAATTAAAAAAAGATTGACGACTAAAATTCTTTCATACTCTTACTCCTTTTCGAGATGGCCTTTATAAAGAAGAAAAGGATCTCTATTTAGGCATTTCATAACCCGTGATATATTTTTTGTTTGCTTTCCTTCGTAAGAAGGAAACGTTTGAGCTGACGGGCATTATCCAAAGGAGAAATAATTATTAAAAAAAAAAAAGGCGCGACTAAATTCCTTCGCTCCACAAGATAATAATGTACGACATTTCTCTTTTATTCTTTACTTCTTGAATAAGCTGTCGGCACATGGTCTAATTAGCGCAGAAAGAAAGCTGAAAAAAAAATGCGAAATCATAAACCGTCAAAATTCTGTTATGATCTTTTCGGGTAACTTTACAGCGAAGTGGCCTATTTAGGCATCCAAAAATGAAAGCAGACTTTCTTTCGCAAAGTTTTGCTTCCTAAGCATTGTAGCGGGAGAATCTCGTGAATTCCCTTCGAATCGATTGTGTGGAGATATATGTATCTCAGTCAATAGATTGTCTGGGAGAGAGAGAGAGAGAGAGAGAGTCTCTCTTAAGCTTTTGTCTTCAAAATTTTGAGAAAAAAAAATTCAAAATTATATTATTTTCCAACTTGAATGAATAGATTTTAAAATAAGAGCAGCTCACTAATAGCATAAAGTTCACTTGCCCGTGTGGTTAGCGTTTCTTTGCTACCCGGAATGTATGAATGTTCTCTCGAGCAATATGTTCTCTCTTGGTCTGCTCATTACCTTCGGGCGCCCGAAATGCGTCAACTATATTTTGCCAGTGACCAAGTCTTGGGGAAAGCGCTTGTTTGCCACATAACATATTAGATTTAAATATATCCATGCATGTGCTTTATCTCTAAGCTGCATTAAAATAAAACGAAAACAAAGAAAAATCAGCTTAGACGAGCAGTAGATTAACTTTGTCTTGAATGTATTTTTTTGGTTATTTGTTTGATTCTACTATTAGCGCAAATGTGTGTGTATACTTTACTTTAGAAATCGTTTCTTTTACACAAGTGTGCTATTCACATGGCAGACCATTTGAATACATTTTTTTAATCTTAAATACATGCATAAAAAAGATTTAAGTGAACTGCTATGGATGCGGTTTGTTGTTTCGTTTTTGGTTTGATAACATTTACGTCCAAACACGTGACTGGGTACGTGATCGTACATTACGTTTAAGGTGCTAAGGTGTTTTTACCCACACACAATACAAATATTTATTCTTATTTCATTTATATATTATTTGTATTATGACGATTGAAGTCACATATCAAATAATAGAAAAGTGTTCTGTTAACGATATAAGTATGCTCTGTCTGTTAATAATAAACTTTCATTCGCTTATTGGCAACATTTTATCCGAAAATATTATTTACCAGGTGTTCATGTCCCTGTTCGATGTTGAAGGAAAACAAATAATAATAACAGTCGTTGGTATTAAATTTTCGATATGAGAATCAGATCTCTTTCAGTTTTTTGACTCATATGTTCGTCCCCAAGCGCCAACGCATATAGGTCAAGCCCTCGTTCTTAATTTCAGTTTTTGTTGGAGGTGCGATGACTTTAGCGGTGTGTAAAGAACAAAATTGTTACTTTTTTAAAAGGATTACGCCGAAAATGTTGAACAGACGGTGCGCTCAGTGCACAATTTATTCTACAACACGTTATAATATTTCCTTGTTTTATTATTAGGAAAATTTAGCCTAAAAATTTTAATTCATTTGTTTGCCGCCGTCGATTATGTACAGTGGTCCGCAAAGGATTTCTTCTTAGTTCAACTACCTCTTTACTCAAGATGCTTATCGGATTGTGCAATCGATCAAGGAAAGTTTGATGTCTGGCAGTAAAAGCAGGCAAAAGCCACTTCTGTTTAATTTGTCGAGTACGACGGAAATTTGACGTTGCCATACCTGCTTCTTTTCACTCTATTTCAATAGATTCGTTATTTTAATTAATAATTGCCGCTAAAAGCTTCTTTCCTATTTACTTAGCATAGCATATAATAGACCCAACATAGATAACTTAAACTTAGTCAACCAATTAAAATGAGAGATGATTTTGATTCTCTTAACTAATAGATAGTAACTCCGGATGATAGAACCATAGCCGCATGCATGCATGCGAATCACTTTAGTATTTTACATTCTAATCAGGATTTTCTCTATTTCTCCAGAATCCTGGCTACGCTGGTCGTAAAGAGTTACCAGAAAATTTGAAAATACAATTTCGGACTGTAGCGATGATGGTTCCGGATCGCCAGATAATTATACGAGTAAAATTGGCTTCGTGTGGCTTCTTAGAAAACATAACGTTAGCTAGAAAATTTTATACACTCTATAAATTGTGCGAGGAACAGCTAACGAAACAAGTGCATTACGATTTTGGTTTACGCAATATACTCTCAGTCTTACGAACCTTGGGTGCAGCGAAGCGTCGAAACTCTCGCGATACGGAAAGCACTATAGTGATGCGTGTTTTACGCGATATGAATCTTTCGAAGCTAATTGATGATGATGAGCCCTTATTTATGTCATTAGTTTCGGATTTGTTTCCAAATCAGACTTTAGAAAAAACGAATTATGCCGAATTGGAGGCTGCCATTGCTCAGCAAACTGAAGAAGCCAATTTGATATATCATCCACCGTGGGTGTTGAAACTGATACAGTTATATGAAACACAAAATGTGCGGCACGGAATTATGACTTTGGGTCCCAGTGGTGCTGGCAAAACGACTTGCATTCACACGCTAATGAAAGCTATGACACAGTTGGGCGATTCGCATCGTGAGATGCGTATGAATCCGAAAGCTATAACAGCTGCTCAAATGTTCGGTCGCTTAGATGTAGCGACTAACGATTGGACTGATGGCATATTCTCGGCTTTATGGCGTAAAACATTGAAATTAAAAAGTGGCGAACACGTTTGGCTTGTTTTAGACGGACCCGTTGATAGTATATGGATTGAAAATTTGAATTCGGTTTTAGACGATAACAAAACCCTAACTCTAGCGAATGGTGATCGTTTAACGATGGCTCCCACAGTTAAGATAATATTTGAGCCTCATAATATTGATAATGCTTCGCCAGCGACAGTGTCGCGTAACGGCATGGTCTATATGAGTTCATCGGGATTGGATTCAAGGCCTAGTAGGCTATAAAGAGATATAAAAGATGATCTTGTTTTTTCATTTGTTTTGTTCTTTTTTTTTAAAGTTGTGCAAGCTTGGTTGAAAAATCGGGCCCCGGGTGAGAAAACGGTGTTTTCCGATCTTTTCAAGCGTACTTTTGTTCCAGTGTATTCTTGGGGTACACAAAATTTACAACTATTGATGCCCGTCTTGCAATGCAATATTGTTCGCCAAATGTTATGCGTATTGGAGGGATTAGTGCCTGTGAAAAATGACGATGAACAAGCTGTCAGTGTCTCGAGCAAAGATAGCCAAGAGGGTAAGCGCAATATTTCAAAAAAATTTATTATAAACTTGATAAGTTCATCGATAATAAGAGATTATTTAGAATTACACTATGTGTAAGGTTAAGCATATATTTAAGTACATGTAAAATATGTTTCATAACATTTCACATTTTCAGCAAAAACTATGAGATTCGATATTAATCCTTTTCCACCAAGTGATGATGGTAAAGTATTTTTTGCCTTTTTCCAATACCTATGGTCTTCCTAAGTCTTACTTATCAAAGCTGTAATGAAGCAAAACTAACTTTTCTGGCCGCACTTTTTCTACTTTGAACACTTTTTTTTAAATATTTCTAACGAAATGGATATATATATATATATATATATATAAGTGAATGATCGTATTATCTATTAAAAATGTGCCTGTGCATAATGTGCTTGTCAACGTTTAAGCTCTGCTATTTCGTAATCGCTTCAAGAGAATTCGATTTGATTTCATCACCTTCTTTTTTCTTTTCCTCCTAATTTTCTAATTATCTTTGTTTAAGATGCGAGATGAGAGAGAGTGAGATTTCATCTATTCTATTTCATTTTTTTTACTTTTCCGAATTTTCTTTATTTAGAAGATGCAACAGAAGACGCAATAGTTGAAGAGAAAAAAGATACTTGTACCCCGGAACATTTACATCGCTTGTATATCTTTGCTTTAGCCTGGGGTTTGGGAGCCTATCTTAGTTCCACGGACCGCATGAAATTAAATTTATATATAAAAGAAACTTTTCCGGATTTGGATTATGCCAAAGGCACGCCTGCTGAAAATAGTATATTTGATTTCTTCGTTTCGCCGGCTGGCGCTTGGCATTCTTGGAAGACATTGGTTACACCCTATATGTACCCTGAAGTATCCACACCGGATTATTTAAACATATTGGTACCCATCGTTGACAATGTACGCATGGATTACTTAATTGGAACTATCGCTAACCAAGAGAAGGCCGTGATGCTTATCGGTGAGCAGGGCACCGGCAAAACGGTCATAATGAAAAATTTCATGAAAAAAATGAACGCTGAAACCTGCATGAGTAGGTCTTTTAATTTCTCCTCAGCTACAAGTCCGTACCAATTTCAACGCACTATTGAAAGTTATGTTGAAAAAAGGGTAGGTGTTACATTTGGGCCACCTGGTGGCCGTAAGCTAATTGCTTTTATCGATGATATTAATTTACCGGAAATTAATGAGTGGGGAGATCAAATTACTAATGAAATAGTTCGCCAATCGATGGATATGAAGGGATTTTACAGTTTAGAGAAGCCTGGTGATTTTACCACCATTGTGGATGTGCAGTATGTGGCCGCTATGGGATTGCCAGGAGGGGGTCGAAACGATATACCCTCCCGTTTGAAGCGTCAGTTTTGCGTTTTCAATTGCAATATTCCCGACAATGAATCGATTGATAAAATTTTCCGTGTAATCGGCGAAGGTCATTACAATGCAAAAAGAGGCTTTATACCGGAGGTCCGCAATTTGGTGAAAAAGCTTATAGTGGTAACGCGACTCATGTGGCAGCGTACACGTGAAAAGCTTCTGCCTACGCCTGCCAAATTTCATTATGTTTTCAGTTTACGTGATTTATCTCGCGTATGGCAAGGCATGGTGGGTACCTTGTCTACTGTTATAACGACGGAAAGTGTTTTGATGGCTTTGTGGAAGCACGAATGTACACGAGTATTTGCTGATCGTTTCACTAATATTCACGATAAAGAATGGTTTAGTTCGGAATTGATGTGTGTAGTGCGATCCGAGTTGGGCGAAAATTATGTAACCATGATTATACCGAATCCGGTATTTGTAGACTTCATGCGTGATGCTCCTGAACCCACAGGTGAAGAAGGCGAGGATGCTGACATGGAGCTACCCAAAGTCTATGAGCCGGTGAATTCTCATGAAGTGCTCCGCGAGCGTCTGGTCATGTTTCTCGCTCAATTTAATGAAATGGTGCGAGGCTCTGGGATGGATTTGGTCTTCTTTCCAGATGCTATGTTGCATTTGGTAAAGATCTCACGAATAATACGGCATCCCCGTGGCAACGTCATGCTGGTCGGAGTAGGCGGTTCAGGGAAACAATCTCTAACCAAATTGGCTTCTTTTATAGCCGGTTACAAAACGTTCCAAATTGCTCTTACTCGGTCCTACAATGTTGCTAATTTCTTAGAAGATCTTAAACTTTTATATCGCACTTGCGGTGTTCAAGGCAAAGGCACTACATTCCTATTTACTGATATGGACATTAAAGAAGAGGGTTTTCTGGAATATCTCAATAATATCCTATCTTCCGGTGTGATATCGAATTTATTCTCTCGTGACGAACAGGCCGAGATTATTCAAGAACTAACGCCAATAATGAAAAGAGAAAATCAACGAAAATCCGCTACTCCGGAAAGTGTGATGGAATTCTTTTTGGCGCGAACTTCGTCAAATCTCCATGTAGCCTTTTGTTTTTCTCCCGTGGGAGAAACATTCCGATCGAGGGTGCAACGTTTTCCAGCTTTGGTGTCGGGCTGCACCGTCGATTGGTTCCAACCTTGGCCCAAGGATGCCCTTGTCTCGGTTTCACGACACTTTCTGAGTGACTTTGAAATTGAGTGTACACCGGAGGTTAAAGAAGAATTGGTCAACGCTTTGGGTTCCATTCAAGATGTAGTCGCTGAAACATCACAGGAATATTTTCAACGTTTCCGTAGAGCAACTCATGTCACACCAAAATCTTATTTGAATTTTATAGCGGGATATAAAAATATCTATCAACAAAAGCAAAAAGAATTGGGCGATGGCGTTGAAAAAATGGACACAGGTCTCGAGAAACTTAAAGAAGCTTCTGCTTCCGTGGAAATTCTTAAGAAAGATTTGGTAGTAATGGAGGAAGAGTTGGTGGAAGCTTCCAAGAAGGCAGAGTCAGTTTTGGCTGAAGTCACTGAGAGAGCTATGCAAGCTGAAATCGTAAAAAATCAAGTGCTTATAGTTAAAGATAAAGCGGAAGCGTTAGTGTCTTGCATTGCTCATGAGAAAGCGTTAGCGGAAGAAAAATTAGAGGCAGCAAAACCGGCGCTAGAGGAGGCTGAGATGGCTTTGAATACAATCAAACCGGCACATATAGCCACAGTGCGCAAATTGGGACGTCCACCACATTTGATAATGCGTATTATGGATAGCGTATTGATACTTTTCAAACGCAAACTGCACCCCTGCATTCCGGATTCGGGTACACCTTGCCCTAAACCATCGTGGCAAGAATCTTTAAAGGTATGTCAATTGTTTGCGTAGGCGCCCTTATAATGATTGGCATAAAAGGCTTAATAATTTAAATTATAGATGATGGCTAGCGCAACATTCCTATTGCAATTGCAAAACTATCCCAAGGATACTATCAACGACGAAATGATTGATTTATTACAGCCATATTTCCGCATGGAAGATTACAATATGGACATGGCGCGCAGGGTATGTGGTGATGTGGCTGGCTTGCTGTCGTGGACGAAAGCTATGTCTTTCTTTCATAGTGTCAATAAGGAAGTTTTGCCACTTAAAGCAAATTTAACAATGCAGGAAGCAAGACTAAAGGTAAGCAAAAGTACATATGTATAGAACGTGGTTACTAGAAGGAATATATGGAAGGAATATATTTATATGTTTTTTTTCCTTAGCTTGCGATGGATGATTTAGCTGCAGCGGAAGACCAATTGCATGAGCGTGAGGAAGCTTTACAGGCCGTTAAGAATCAATATGACAAAGCAGTGGGCGAAAAGCAACGCCTGACCGATGCTGCTAATGTATGTCTACGTAAAATGACAGCAGCCACTGCTCTAATTAATGGCTTGTCAGATGAAAAATTACGTTGGACAAATCAAAGTAAAGAATTCAAAATTCAATTAGGAAAATTAGTAGGCGACGTGTTATTAGCTACCGGATTTCTATCATATTGTGGTCCTTATAATCAAGATTTTCGGGCAAATCTCATCAGAACTTGGATGAGTATATTGAGGCAGAAAGCAATACCCTTTACCATTAGCTTAAATATTATTAATATGCTGGTAGATTCATCTACGGTTTCCGAATGGACATTACAGGGTTTACCTAATGATGAGTTATCGGTGCAAAACGCTCTAATAGCGACTAAATCTAGTAGTTACCCTCTATTAATAGACCCACAGACCCAGGGAAAATTATGGATAAAATCAAAAGAAGATCAAAATGAATTACAAATCACTTCATTGAATCATAAATATTTCCGTACGCATTTGGAAGACGCTCTATCTTTGGGAAGACCGTTACTCATCGAAGATGTAGGAGTAGAATTGGATCCAGTTATCGATAACGTTTTAGAAAAGAATTTTATCAAATCTGGAAGTATAGAGAAAGTACTAGTGGGTGATAAAGAATGCGATGTAATGCCTGGCTTTATGTTATACATTACGACTAAATTACCTAATCCGCCCTTTAGCCCTGAAATTAGTGCTAAAACATCGATAATAGATTTCACAGTGACAATGAGAGGCCTAGAGGATCAATTATTGGGTCGCGTAATACTTATGGAAAAATCCGATTTAGAAGCGGAGCGTGTCGCACTTTTTGAAACTGTTATGAGAAATCAGCGAAACATGAAAGAATTGGAGGCTAATCTTCTGTACCGACTTAGCTCATCTCAAGGATCTTTAGTCGATGACGAGGCTCTAATTGAAGTATTGCGCGTCACTAAAACTACTGCCGAGGAAGTCAATCAAAAGTTGAAAATTTCTGAGGTAACCGAGCGCAAAATAATGAAAGCCCGCGAAGAGTTTCGCGCTGTAGCTGCACGCGGCTCCATTTTATATTTTCTAATAGTAGAAATGAGTAACGTCAACGTCATGTATCAAAATTCATTGAAACAATTTCTGGTTATCTTTAACAATTCTATCACAAAATCAACTAAGTCGAATATAACTGACGAGCGCATTAACATCATTTTACGTTATTTAACATACGAGGTGTACAAATTCACCAACCGCAGCCTGTATGAGCGACATAAGCAACTTTTTACTTTGATGCTGGCCATCAAAATTGATTATCACAAAGGCAATATAAGTCATGAAGAATTTATGGCATTCATAAAAGGCGGTGCTTCATTGGACTTGAATGCTGTGACACCGAAGCCGTTTCGTTGGATATTAGATATTACGTGGTTGAATTTGGTTGAGATAAGCAAACTAGACACATTTGCTAATGTGCTCGAGTTGGTAAGTTGCATGACTGTTTATTTGCAAGAGTGCATGCATGGCGTGCGTTTATTAAACAAGATGATTCAATTGTCCACCAGAGAAATGGTGATTTTTGACAAACTCCATCCACGCAAACATACGTTTCACTTTCACTTTAAAATTGAAGTAAGAAAACTTTGTTAGATTCCGTCTTTGTCAACCTTGGAGTAAAGGGAGTTTCTTAGTTAAAATCTCTGAAAGCAGAGAACGGTTTTTTTTTTTTTCGTTCACCCCACGAAAGTGATTTTTATTGATGACGAAGAAGAGGAAGAGGGAAATTTTGCAGCCAAATTTCTTTTGCACACATAAATTTCATTTTCTAATAACTTGTAGTCTAAGTTCAGTTGTCTAAGTTTACTTTGAACTTTACAGTTTACAAAGTTCATGTTTTCGTACGGAATAGTAGATCGGAACTCTGTTTTTAACGGTCACAGTTTTTTTTTTTTTGGGTTTGAGAGACGTGAACGTGACATTCCTGGCTACTTATATACATTTTTTTTGGTTGACAGATGTTTCAGTTTTACCTGTCTCGTATAACGTCTATTCCCATTTGCATTTATTAAGATTGAAGCGAGTGAACGTGACTGGCGTATTTGGTATGAAACCGAGAAGCCCGAAAATGAAGAAATACCTTGTGGTTATCAGGGTTCCTTGGATGGTTTCCGTAAACTTCTTCTTATACGCTCTTGGTGTCCGGATCGTACTATATCACAAGCCAAGAGATACATAGAAGGTTTAACATTTTTACTTAATTTTATTACGAGCGACTTTAATTGAAATTTTTAATAAGTTTAGAATCTTTGGGTTCAGAATACAGCGAAATGCAAATTTTAGATTTGGAATTAACCTGGACCGAATCGGAGCCGAGAACGCCATTTGTTTGTTTGTTGTCTATAGGATCAGATCCCACTACGCAGATAGCAGCTTTAGCTAAACAAAAAGGAATTCGTAAGTCCCCTGGTTAAGGATTAAAATCGACATAATTTTTAATATTCTACTTGCAGCCCTAAAATCAGTGTCCATGGGGCAGGGGCAAGAGTGTCATGCACGTAAAATGATTATGGATGCAATGGCTTCGGGGGGTTGGGTGTTGTTACAAAATGTACATTTGTCTTTACCATTTTGCTCCGAAATTATTGATATGTTAGTGGAGACAGAATATGTTGAAGATTCATTTCGCATGTGGGTGACCACCGAGCCGCACAATGAATTTCCTATCGGTCTACTGCAAATGGCAATTAAATTTACCAATGAACCCCCGCAAGGTATACGCGCTAGTTTGAAACGTAGTTATCAGGTAAGTTACACTAAGTTTTCTTACTTATCACAAGAAGCCCAAAAAATACTGCGAATACTGTCTTCTGATTTGTTACACTCGAAAATGCATGAGAAGGATGCACATACATATTGTCGATCAATTTCAATTGGTTTGATATGATTTCTCTCAGTTACTGAATGCCACTGTCCGCCCATCTATCCAACTTTCACTCTGTCCTGCCTCTCATTCTGTGTGTTTGTCGGTCCATTCGCTCAACGCACCAAACACCAATCACTCTACCTATCTGTTCACTTTGTGACCCTGTTATCTTGCTCGCCAACAATAGCGGTATACCGCTCACTAGAAATAGTGGTGGGCTTTACGTGCCCAAAATTAACTGATTGATGTATATTTAAGAATAAAGGAGAGAAGAAGAAGCCTTAGAATCATAGTAGAGGCTTTATACTTGCGTAAAAAGTATGTTAACTAAACTATTGCTTAACTATTGCAGGCTTTTACACAGGATTTCTTAGATTACACATCCGCTTCACAATGGCCGACTTTGCTATATACTGTGGCATTTTTGCACACGATAGTACAAGAGAGACGCAAATTTGGACCTTTGGGCTGGAATATACCATACGAATTTAATGCGGCCGATTTTGCGGCCAGCGTGCAATTCATACAAAATCATTTAGACGAAATGGATCCAAAGAAAGGAGTATCATGGCAAACATTAGTATATATGATAGGTGAAGTGCAATACGGAGGACGGGTTACAGATGATTTCGATAAACGCTTGCTGAATACCTTTACGGCTGTATGGTTTTGTGAAGGTCTACTAAGTTCGTCGTTTGAATTCTACAAAGGTTATAAAGTACCAAATACAAAAAATTTGCAAGGATTTATTGATTACATTAATATGCTGCCAACGTACGATACACCCGAAGTATTTGGATTGCATTCAAATGCTGATATAACATATCAAATTAATTCGGCGAAAGGTTAGAGCAAGCACATAATGCAGAACGAATCGATTTCTTTCCCTTATACGTTTTCCACGATTTAACGATTTTAAGTTCGAAATTTATCGTAATTTTTTTTTTTCTGTTCTGGTTATCTGGCTGGTAGTACCAAATAAATTCTATATAAACTGGAATTTTACTTGATTATCCTCCTCTTAACATGCCTATACGTATGCATGTATTATGAAATTGCCTTTCATTTAAGTTATGTAAGAAAAGAAAAATAAAAATTGCTCTCTTTGCCCAGGCATATTGGATACAATATTAAGCGTGCAACCGAAGGAAGGTGGTGGCGGCGGTGGTGAGACACGTGAAAGTATTGTCTATCAATTGGCCGATGATATGCTCAGGAAATTGCCACAGCAATATAATACATATGAAGTGCGTGAAAATTTAACACGTATGGGTATACTCTTGCCTATGAATATATTTCTCAGGTAAAAGTGTGTGTGTTTCTTTTATGTTTCTTAAAATGTGTAACGTGTCTTTCATCGCGTTTGCTTTAAAGTTATTAACGATGAATATGAGCTGACATTTTATTTATGTTATAATATTAATGAAAATTCATTTATATTATAATTTTCAATATTTTCCCTTTTTTGTGCATAATTTTTTATACTGCATTCATGTGTATGATGGTAATTGAATAGACAAGAAATCGATCGAATGCAAAGAGTATTAAAACGCGTTTCTTCATGCTTATGTGATCTGAAATTGGCAATTGACGGCACTATTGTAATGAGCCCAGCACTAAAGGAGTCCTTGGATGCTATGTACGATGCCCGCATACCGGAAACATGGATGAAGGTGAATAGTAATTGTTGTTCAACTACAATATCTTCAATGCCTGATTATACTGCAATATTTATTTTTGTTTTGCTTTATATATATATATGCATATATATATATATATGGTATGTATATGTTCGATTGAGGTAATGTTGTTGACATTTTATTTCAACGAAGCATACTTCTTCAAATCGTTGCTCTACTTTGCAATGATTTACCTGACAGTATGCGCGATTATAGTTTATATTATGTATTTGCATAAAACCGCATCAGTTTGATCTCAGATTTTTCATAACTTTGCACAAGTCGTGTGGAATGAAAATCACTTTGTCTGGGAAGGTGCATAATTCCCATTTTACAAAAAGAAGAAAAAATCTCATTTTACACGAATTGTTCACACTATTCCATGAATTTTTTTTTAATGAATTTTACTGATGATTTTTTTTTCTTTTTCACATTTCTAAGCATTTTTTCATTCTCACTCCTTGCAAATATGCTCTGCAACTTCGTACTATATATTTTTCACTATTCAATCCACGAATTATACATCGAGCAAAAAAAACGTAATATATTTTCTACGCAATTAAGTTTGGTTTTTTAAAAGTATAATTTACTTTAATATATTTAATGAATTAGATTTTCTAGGCACGAAATAAATTCTTCAATGAATTCTATTCTGAAGCCATTCTACAATTTTTCCATTCAGCCAATATCTTTTTTTACACGAATTTTTTGGTAACGTATCTACCCGCAAATATTTGTTAGCTGATGGAAGTAATTTGGCTTTTTGTTTATGTGCTCATAAGCGATCTCAAAAGTTTGCGTAGAAGATCTCGTCCATTATGAAATTGTTGACTTTAATTTTTTTTAGTTTGTCAAAACCATTCCGCAAAGTATATATTTGATAATCATCATCATTAAACATCACTGTCTGTCTGTCTGTGTACTGTCTGTTGTAAACCTTCTCCTGGCCACAAGAATGAACCTTGATGACTTGAAATTTGGCAGAAATATTGGAAGTCCTTGCACATAGGTTGGTATTGTGTATAGCAACGTAGTGCGGTTGTGTCCTTTGACCTTTGGTTCTTTTGCTAATTTGTAGGTGCCATCAATTCATTTTAGCAAATGGGAGAATGTTTACCACAGATATTCGTACAGTTGAACAGATGAGCAGCAGACGGACGTGCTTAAGTGCATTTCAAATTTAAAGCTGGCCAAGAATATGTGTACTTTATGGGATTTTTAAAGTTTATTTCTACTCTATAATATTGGGTAGGTGTGGTCAATATCTCCCATTTTTGTACAGATACTACATTATCATCCATAGAGTATATATGCGAAGTTCTGCAGATTGATTTTCTGTAGTTCATGACTAATAAGCAAAAAAACAAAACAAACAAAAACAACAATTGTCCCTTCCTTTTCGAAAACAGAGATATTCTCTCTGGTTAAGCTATCATTTTCAGTATTAAGCTGCGCGCATTAATCTCCAATTTGAAGTCGATAGCCTTGGCGCCCAGGAAAACACACATTACACTAACGGACAGATGGACAGATGGCAATGCATAAATCGATTCAGATTTTGATGGGGTGTTGCAAATGGTTTGACAAATGAATAAGCTCCTCGTCCTTCGGCGGGACACTAAAAGACGGCACACTAAACACTAAACACTAAAAGACGGCACATCTTCACGCTCCTAAGTTTACAGAGTAGGGATATTTAGCTTTTTTGTTGTTTCTTGTATGTTCCCCTAAGAATGCAGTGACGGATATAAACGATTTGGTCGCGGCGAATTTATTGAGCAAAAAAAGATTTTTTTCTTATTTCATTCTAAAATTATATCCATGTCAAGTGCTTCTCAGTCAGGCATCTATCTCAAAGGGAATATTTTCTATTATGAGTACAGGCATAAATATTTTATTTAAAATTTATATATGTGTACACCTTTGCATTAACATTGTGTCCCCAATAGATATCCTGGGAATCAACAACATTGGGCTTTTGGTATACAGAATTATTGGAGCGTAATACGCAATTCCGTGCATGGTTGTCGACAGATCGGCCTAAAGTAAGTATTGAATGAAAATCTATTCACAATGTTTATGCCTACATATATAGATTATTTTTTATTTTATTACATCTACAGATGTTATGGCTTTCAAAATGTTAAAGCTTTCTCACTTTATTTTATTTGCGTTCAATCTCTGATATTTTCAGGTATTCTGGATGACTGGGTTTTTTAATCCACAAGGCTTTCTAACTGCTATGCGTCAGGTGGATAAATTATTATTTCTTTTTTTTTTCTTTTCAATTCGTTTTAGTTCTCTTTCTACACACAAACACTTTTCCTCGAAGCCTGCACGATGTTTTGTATGAGAGATTGCATTGTCATAATCTTGTTAAAACATTTTTGGTTTTCAGTTGAGGTATTTTTGTTGTCGAACTCTATATCAATTTCATCAATACAGTTTATTTGTTTAGTTTTTTTTTGTAAATCTGAAAAATTTTGAGATACATAAGACAATTGCATGAGCACGCACATCAGCCATGTTTCCATGATTTTATTGTTATAATTGTAGGCTAACAAAATTTTATTGAATAGAATTTTTATTAATTAAGAGTTTTTAAAGAAATCCTAAACTTCTTTGTCCTCGTTTCGAAACTCTGAACAACTACTAGAGTATATTTAGAGAATTATTTAGCGCTTCTTTTCGGGAAATGAAATGATTGAAAAGAAGCGAACATCAACACGCCAATACTTTCCTAAGGCAATTTCATTTTTGTCTCGCTTATCGATCTTAAAGGCAGGTGTGCCAAGCACATGCTCTTCGGTTATATAATGGACGCATAGATTGTTTTAGGGACCGCAATTATAATGGCAAAGGGTATGGCATAAATTAATTTTTTAAAATGCACTCCTATCGTGAGTCAGCCATCTAGAGGTGGATGTTAAGACATTTGCTCTATGTGGTTACCAGTTGGCGACCGAAAGTTTCTTAACTTAATACCTTATTGTATAATTGTTTACTTATGATGAATACATTTTATAAATAAGTTTACAAAATATGTTTAGGAAGAAAGCCTGTAGTTGCTATAAGTGAACAAAGTGCTCCGAAGTTAAAAAGTTAAGAATATAGTTAAGAGAGCATTGAAAAAAACGACAAAGGCGTATTCTCGAAACAATGTTTGTCCTTAAGCAATCAGTCACCCTCTCAAGGGATTCATGAATACTCTATGAAGGACATTCAGATCAAATACGGCCCATACAAAGATAAAGTCACTACAGGGTACACATTTAACAGGTTCACTGCGCTCATAGTAATCTTGAGTAGTAATGTTGAGTAGTTCTGGATCAATTCCTTTTATGAATTACCAGATACAATTTTTTACTTAATGTTCTGGGAGATTGCCACATAGAAGTGGCAAATTTCCAATTCTATCTACATTTAAGCAGTCGTTACGACTTATAGTTCACAGCTTAATCGTATTATAAGCCTGAGTAGCCCAGACAAGTCGAGTTTTATACAATTTTCAGATAAACAGGTTTAAATGCATTCAATTTCTTAAGCTGACCCATAGTATATACATATAATTTATGGTGTCTTTGGTGCATATCATCTGTAGTATTCTCTAGTGTACCTTTGTTCTGCGATAATAAGTATTAAAAGGAAGAATTTATAAATATTAGGCATCGACGCAATACCTCCAACCAACATATAAACAATATTTTATTACAAGACAGAGCGAAAAATCTGCTCCCGCTAGTGTATCGTTTTGTATAAACATATATGTTACAAACTTTCAATTTTAGTTAGATAAGAATTGATAACACTTCATAAGGACTAAGAAAAAAATACAAAGATCCATCGACATCCGCTATTCTTTTGTATTTATTCCTTTTCATAGTTTTGTATATTTTCGTAGCACTTTACCCAACTTATGTGCAACTTGGTACTTACGAGCGAATCTTCGATATGATCAAGTCGATTTCTGATTTGGAAGACGACCTCTACAATTTTGAGATTCTAATTTCGGGAAAAGAGCAGACATGCAACAATTTCTAATGGTTGCGCATTTTGTCATGAGTGTTTTTCGAATTTCAAAAATGTTCTCACAAAACAAGATCTGAACATTGGAACTGAGCCGAATGAACGATAGAGCGACGACATCTTATTCATAAGAAATAGTTCTGTACCTTACATACCTGTGCCCAACACTTTTTTTACGTGGTAGACACGTTCCTTAGAAAACCGTGCAAAAAAAAATCTTATAAAAAGCTAGATGCAGCATATGCTAAATTTTTGGAGATTTGCCATAACTTAAAAAAAATCGTATAAAAAAAAACTCTACGTATTTTTCTCAAAACCGTGTAAAAAAATAAATGTTTTTACATGTTTTTATTACAAAAAAAAAAGATTAAAATTATTGTGCAGTGAAAGATGTAGTCCATTACTACAACATATAATTATTTAAATTGAGATTAAGATAAAAATAAATTCCGCAACTATTCAAAGCCACTTGATAAGAAGCAAGCACGCTTATTGCGGACTGGACTAAAAATGCTATCATCAGTAAATATGTCAGCTATGTTTAATTTAACTGTCGGGAAGAATTAAAAAAACATACTTTTTGTTTTATTAAAAGTGTAAAGAAGACCGTGTAAAAAAAGAATTTGCTGTATATGGAACCTTTGCAATGAATTTAAGAGCAACTTTGTAGCAATACAAGTTTGTTTAAAATTTAATAATATTTTTTTGTTTAATAATTTTTGTGATTACGCGTAGATCCTTTTAAAACACATTATGTGACAGGCGTTAGAGCAAATTATTTACTCAACATTTTCATTACTGCTTCAAAGTTTTGATGTTAAAATAAGTGAATAGAGAGAGAAAGAGAGAGAGAGAGAGAGAGGAGGGATTAATGTAATAAACTAATGAAAAACCTACAAAATGATGGCAAAGACAGTTGACAGACTATAAGCGACAGAAAATTTTATTTGATGGTTTAATAAAGTTCGTGTTGACACAATTTGTGGGATTTAATAATGTACTTAGGCAGTACTATAGTAAGACGCTGCCACGCTATCGAACCAGATTAGTGATAAATATGTTCTTGTGGTTTTTGGTAAATTAATGAACGGCTAACTACGTCAAAGGTTTTTGTTCGCAAAATTAATTGCAAATAAAGGCAAATTTGCGAAAGGTAAACAAACACAAATTCTTCTCATTTTTGTATTAATATGTTTTTATATGTTTTTATTTCAATTTTATGATTTTTTATATTTTTTTATTTTCTTGTCTTACATACCTAACGTATATATATATATATACATACCATTTTCATTCCCATGTGCATGTGCTTTCTAAAAGAATGTTATTCTTATGGAATTTTTTTCTTTAATGGACGCACTGGAACAAGTTGACATTGCATAAAAAGTTGTACAATTATTTTATCTATTGCTTTTTTCTTCTAATTCTTCTCTTCTTTGTGTGTGTGTGTTTTTACCTCTTATGGTGAACAGGAAGTAACCAGAGCTCACAAAGGATGGGCTCTCGACTCGGTTGTGTTGCAAAATCAAATAACGAGATACAACAAAGAGGACATCACTGAGTATCCTACTGAAGGAGTCTATGTTCATGGTCTATTTCTGGAGGGTGAGCGTGTTTTTTCTTTTTTTTTTTTTTACACAAGTGAATACAACTGTCATACACGTACATACGTAAAAGGAAGAGACCACATGAATTTTTATTTTCATTTTTTACATGTTTTCGTCTTTTTTGTTTTTATTCTCATTCCTTTACTTAGGTATTTAAGTTCTTGCAAGTTTGCAGTTTCCTACTGTTGTTTACATTCTATATAAAATAATATCGTCATTTCTTTACAAAAACGGCTGAAGATCTTGAATATATTACGATTTCATATTTATGTCTCTTTAATGCTTAAAGCGTGCTCTTTACATTGTTTAGACATCACGGAGATCGATTACATTTTGATAGCACAATATTTTCGCATAGGCTAATACCATACAAATATTAGTTAAGTCCCTTTATGGAAATCTTTCTAGAACTGAATTGCAATTCTGCAAAAGCATTGCTTGCTTGTGCATAAATCAAAATTTATAATCAAGTGTTGATACACAATTAGTGACCACTGATTGCGGTGAATATACATATTATGCTATATATAAATATTATTTGTTAGTTTTATTGCGGTCTTAAAGCATATGAATTTTAAAAATTTTAATCATCAACTTTTGTAAATAAAAATTCCGTTTATTCAGAAGAAAGCTTCAGGCACCGCAAATGTAAATGTTTTGATGTCCGCTTGTCCGTTCACGTAAAATGCATTGTGAGCGTTCACCTGTTTCCATGAATGTAGCCATTGGGTTTAAATTTACCAAAAGCATTGAAAGCTCTTGCATGCAGGTTAGTATTGAACTGATGGGCCATATCGGTCGAAGGACAAGCCTGCAGTGAAAATAAACTGAGAATACGAAATTTCCCTAATCGTTCCTCATAAATTAGAAAGAATACACAATAAAAATTTCAAGTATTTTTCAAAACAATTCAAAAAAATCAACCACGCCCACCCAATATTATCAAGCATAGAAACTTAACTTAACTTCGCAAGTCATTAAATCCAATGGAAATAGGTGCGCAAACAGAAAGTACTAGTAGCATTGTCGGGCAAGGCTGAGCGTTAAATATCCTACAGAACATCGCGTGATGCCATAATTCATTTATTTTCGTGATAAATTTCTCAAACTTATAACTAAAGGTATACGAGTTTTTACACGGTGGTGAACTGGAAAGGTTAGATGAAAGTGGATTTGAAAAATTGGTCCATTCTATTGGTCATGCTTTTGCGGATTTTGTAAAACAAGACGTTACAAGGAGACTAGCCGTAAAAAAGATTCGACCCAATTCGTCGTTACCAGAGTCCGTCCTTGCATCAGTATGCACAATGCGATGTATTAAATTTCGTCGAAATATTCAAATGTGTAAGAAACATTCGATATCTGGTTTGGACGAAAGCATCCATGGACAGACATCGGACAGAGAGAGAGAGCGAGAGAGACATGCTTAAAACTCTTCACAAAATGATTCGGGATCGATCCAATTGTTACATAAGTGCGATAAAACTTAGTACACACTCCGCAGTGTAAACGGCGAATGGCTGAGGGTTTTAAGAAAATGTCTGGTAGATCTTCTCAATAGCTGGAAGGATATTAGTTTTAGTTTTTGTCCCCTTTCTTAGTTATACATTGAATTATGTTAGGATTGTGTAAACAAACTTGGAAAAATTTCATTGCTATTGTCGCAACGTCCTTTTCGTAATTCTCGTAATTATCATATTAAATATTAAATTCCATACCAACATACTTTCTTTAAGATTTCCATGCGTATCTTTTTGTGTAATTTCTTACGAAATCAACTTACATCACAAGGGATTAATGATGAGAGAAGAAAAGCAAAACAGGGGAAAAAATAGCATTTTAAAAAATATGCACGAAACTAAAGCGGAACGCGGCGTTAATCGCAGTAACGGTAACGAGAGTTAATAACACAAAAAAGACATTAGAATTGACATAAGTAACATAAAGGTTGTTAAAGAAATATATATTAAAACTAATCTAAAAAGTCTTACCCTTCTTTACAACATAAACAACTAAGAAGACTATAGTGGGAAATGGACCATCATTAAATACCGTTTCGTTTCGATTTAATGCAGTTATTCATATAAGGGCTATTGCAAATAAGGTCTGATAAACTTTATCGAAATATCGCAAAAATTACGGTCTTTGGTTTGAAGATAAGAAAACAAGATGGGCAGACGGACAGACGGGCAGACGGATAGGCAAGTTTCGATCGATGCAAAAAGTGATTCTGAACCGATTGGTATAATAAGATCTAAAATCTTTCTGGCTAATGCATATATTCGCAAAAACTTAACATACTTTCGCAGTGCTATTCATGTATAAAGCATAAGAGAAATGCCTTTGAATTTGAAATGAGAAAACGTCACGAACACCCACACCCCGTTGTCTAATATCAATAATATTTACATGAACATATATTTACTTATGCATAATATTTGTTGTGAAGGGGTGTCGTGTCGCTAGCTAGCAATACAAGACATTAAAATGCTTTATAAATTCTATGAGATTTAATTTTTTCTCATTTTGTTTATTTATTTTGCAGGCGCTTCCCTAGATCGCCGCTGTGGTAAATTAATCGAATCGAAAATGAAAGTATTGTATGAACAAATGCCGGTTATATATATTTTTGCAATTAATACTACGGCCGGTAAAGATCCGAAACTTTATGAATGCCCCATTTATCGTAAGCCTCAGCGCACGGATGCGAAATACGTTGGTTCTATTGATTTTGAAACTGATCTAAATCCCAAGCATTGGACTTTAAGAGGCGTCGCCCTGTTATGTGACATCAAATAAATTTGCATATATGTGCACCTATACATGCAACCTTAATCTGGTCGTAAAAGATGGAGAGACCCATCAGTGTATATGACTTTTACAAAGAGCTTAGCAAGAAAAAATAAATATTAAGTAATAAAGGGAAATGTTTGATTTTATTAATAAATAACAATTTTCCAAGGGTAGTGAACGAAAAAGGGATCCGATCCGAATCGAGCCTATTTTCAATAGTGTTCGCCGTTGCGCCAAAACTCGTCATCATCAAAATAACTCAAACATTGCGATCCTCTTTGTTGAACGCAACAGTATAGACAGACGGACGGACAAGCAGGCGAATAGATAAGCTTTCAATCATTTTCTTAATCGTTTGGTATGATGAAAAGTGGGTCTACATCAAGTCTCTCTGCATATTGCATAAAACCGCAAACACCTAATATGCTCTTATACCACAAGCAGTACAAGGTATAGCAAGTGAAGCTATCTCGAAAGAAATAGGTGTGGATTAAACATATTCCAAACATTTATTTTAAACACTAGACAGACCAAAGAATATGTTGGTTTTGATGAGTTTCCGTACGGCATCTAAGGGAGTAGGTAAGTACCCACAATTCTCTCGCATATAGAACTGATATAATAAAGATTTTGTACTATGTCTAAAGCTTAAGGTTTGGCTCTTAAGCGTGGGAAAAATAGATCAATGAGGCTCAACATCTTTGTATTCTGGAGCCATTTCCTCTTCGTAGTCATTCGAAGGGAACTCTACTCTGGTATTCAATCTAAACAAGCTTGAGAAACATTTGTATAAAGATATTTGTATTCATTTTATTTGTTTCTCCCCTTGTTCCGAGAGTACAATTTTCCCCGTTCCGTTATTCGCAAGTCGATCTGGTGCTTGTGTAAATTCGTGTAAATCCAATTACATTCTCATGAATCAAATCGAAAGAACGGCTTTCTCTCAATGAAAGCAATCGGCTACAATCGACTAATTCTTAAAAAAAATTTCTCAAAATTTTCCTCACATTATCAATAAAATAAGTTGGTATCGGTAACGAGGTCACAAACATAATTATGAATGCTCTGGAAGTCCAGATGTAAGTTCACTTCCCGCAAAAACATAATGCTTGGCACAATTCAATTGTGCATCAATATCACATCATCATGTCAGTCTGTTGCCATCCGAAAAATTCAACGCCATGATGAATCTAACTCCAAGACAACATGACGTCATGGTATCATTTTTGAATTGATTTGATTTAATAATGATTTCCCGTATTGAATATTTCGTAAATGTATGACATTCAACATTTTTGTTAATTTGTTGTTGGTGTTGTTTACCTTTTAACTAATATTTTACTTGAGTTCATTTAATATTTCACAAAACCTACTCAAAGAAAAGCTCTTAAACTCTTTCATCGCCTCTTTTTTTTTTTTTCTTTATTCTTTTACATCATTCCAATAAGACAGACGTCTTCATAATCTAATATATATCCCACTAGGAGCAAATTCTTTACGATAATAGTCACGACATGTGTTGTGTTAAAACAATAACATATCACGTAGATGGCATTCAATTTAAAAATGGATGTGGAAATTGTTTAAATTCGCTGTGTGCTCATTAAGAGCACTTTCCATAAAATGCTAATAAAAGCCTCTTAACATATCAACAAAACATTAGTGTATTCATTCAACTGTAAGACTTCAACTATTTGCGCAGCATTATTTAAGTGCAACAAGTAAATAGACAGTAATCTTTCTGCGAGACATCTCGCTTCCTTTCCGCTAAAACTGAATGCATTTAACTTTTAAGAAGAGATATGTGCCTTTGAAGAAAATACAAATTATTTTTAGTCAGGTGAGATGTTATTCACTTTGGCGGCAAGAGAATAGTAGCAAAAAGAAAATATAATTAAAATATTTAAAGGTGTAACACTTACATGAATGCGAGTAAGGGTTCGCTGCACCTTCGACCTTCGATCTTTTAAGCCAAGCTTATACACAAAAGTCGGTCATTGATGTTGTAAAACGTGTATGCCAAAAATAACTCCACTCTACAATTCCGACTTAAATAAAACTTTTTAAGGCACAACAACTTCCTGTGCCCTTAGACAATAAATGTTCTTGATAAATTTCAATTCGATCGATGACGGAGTACGTATTTTTTGATGTAAATACTTTGAAATAGATTTTAGTTCCCGTTCTTACCTCGTCAAACCTTGCCAAGGTTACATTTACATTACACTCACGTTTTAACCTTAACTTTATTAAAAATTTAACCTAAGGATACCTTGTATAGGATTATGGTAAAAGAAGGAATAAAAGCTCGGAGATAAAAAGAAGAAAAGGAAAACAGAAAGAAATTACGGACCGTAGGTCTTAAGCTCTTTAACTTAGTCGTGCATGAATGCTTTTAGGAAAGAGATGGGGGGACGACGATTTCATACATATCCTGCTAAGGGACAAGTGAACAGTTTCCTCATAACCTAACCGACTCATAATCCCACCCGACTAAAGGAAGTGGGAGTACGCATGAGAACCCTAAAGCTGGAGGTAAAGGGTCTTGCGCGGTAACTTTGTGGTATATTAAAGCGGATGAGTGAATACTTTTAGCAAAGAGATAAATGGACGACGACGTATCTATCATTAGGCAGATTCTGGAATGATTTCGTCATCATCCTATATGTATGCGACGACATCTGAGGAATCATTTTCATCACCGTATTGGCGAACATATCATAACGCCAGACACAGTAAAAAGCTCCGAAGCAAAGAAAGTACCAGGATTCATAAGAATCTTAAAAGCTGGACGGCTAGCACAATAGATCTTTCACGTTGCCTCACGGGCTGCCTAAATAACGTTCACTTTCGTTGCGTTCTCAAAACTCTATCTGCATTATTTAGAGTGTGCGCTAACGGACCCAATTGCTACTAAGGAAGTCGTACTAAGTCGTACAGCTTATCGGACTTATGGCAGTTCATATTTATTTTCTCTTAATGCGTTTTTTAATTTACGGCTACATATGTAATCGCTTGAAACCTTTTCTGCAAATTTTCGAAAAATCGAAAAAATTTCCTTTTCTTTTTTTTTGGTTTTATTGTCGCTAAATTATCTAATAATATATTAATTAATCAATAAAATATAGTAGTTGTACACTTTCAATGATCATATTTCTCCCTTTTTTTTGGTTTGAATTTATTACAGTGTAAGAGGATAGACTTTGCATTTCTTGATTAAGTATATAGTACGGCATATGCACGAGTACACTGTCATTCTCAATCGATTATTAGAGCCCGTCTACCTTAATTTGATCTCTCTCTCGCTCTCGGTTGCCCTTTACATCACTAATCCTTTGTTTTGTTTTTTTTTATTGTTTTTGCCGCATTTTCTTCTTTAATTAGATAAATAGATTGCTGCAAGTAATTTATCTTTGTCTTTATTGAATTTTCTTTAGCTCCATTATCCGTAGCTTGATGTGTGTGTGTGTGTGTGTGTCTATGTGTGTTCATTAATTACAAGCAATAACATTTAGATTAAATTTTGCACATTTATCTGCTATAATTGCACGATATGAAGAAAGTGAGAAAAGATCTTAAGCGTACCACCACCGGTTAAACTAACTAACTAAGTAACGAGTAGAGAAACACTAAGAGAAACGATGAGGAATAATGCTGCAATAATCGATTATGATGTACAATATATATATATATATATATATACATATATATATATTTGTTCATTGGTTCCCCGAATAGCAAAAAACTACAAAGACAGTTATATTCCCCTTGAGGCTGATCTTGAATATCCATTATCACGTACGTGCTATTAAGTATAGATTTTTGTTAATTACTCTTGCCTTTCTTTAATTTCAAATTCAAACATTTCCTCTAAATTACAAAGCCACAAAAGTAATTTTTAATTGCTTTCCTTTTTCCGGATTTTGTTTTTAATTTGCTTAAAAACATTTTACCTCATTTCTGTTTGACGAATAATAAAAATCAAATTCGCATTTATTCTACGAAATTTTATTTTATTAAATTTTAAAATGATATCAGTTTCAGAAATTTTCATGAATTCTTTTCTATCCATTACCGAACGTTGCGGGGTATGTTGATTTTGTCAAAACATTTCGAACGCCCAAGGGGAAGCTTATGTGTTCTCGATCAGCATCAAATTCTAAATCAACTTAAACCCGTCCGTCTGTCCGTCTGTGTTATGTGTCCTGGCCGCGCAAATGAAGCTATCGACATCAAATTTAGCAGAAACATTGGATTTTCTTGCATGCAGCTTGGTATTGAAAATGGGCGTACAGCACTTCACTACGTAAAGCGAGGATTCCTCCGTTTCTTAAAAAATGAACACAAAACTGATTTTTTGCTCCTTTGTGCTCATAAAGTGCAGAAGATAAATCTACAAAAATTTGAACCGATATTCTGAGGGCCATGCTGCAAGAATGGCCCACGCCTACCCGATTTTATATTGCATCACAATTTAATTCTTTTCCAAAATCTTTATAATCCACACCAGCAAGGTTCAAAAATGCCACAAATTATACAAATTCTTGGCCAGTTTTAAATTCGGAATGCTTCTAAGCATCGCTGTTCGTCTGCCCAATAGTGTAGTATCTATGGTAAACATTCGTCCGTTAGCAAAAATGACAATATCGCGTACAAATCTGCAAACTGGTCAAAGAAGGCGCCTGTGATGCACCCTTACGCCTACGCAATAAAAATTGGAAAAATCGCAAATCTATCGCGTGTCCATAGTTCAAACGAAATGACGGATCTATTAAACTTGTTCTTGTAATCGGATTAGTTTGTATGCAAAAATGATAATAAATTTATTTATATTTATTAAGTCTATAGCCATGATTCCATAGTAATTTATTAGTGAAGGGAAAAATAATAATATATTTATTTAAATTAATTTTTTAATTTAAAAGCGTAACAGAGTCGAATTTTATATATCATTTATTAATTTTGTCTTTTGTCTTCTTAGTTCTTCTATCATTTCAATACTTAATCCTGCATTTTATTTAAACATTGTATACATACACAATAGATTACAAACGTACATTAATATATATATATCTATATATCTATATATATATATATATATGTATGTATATATGTATGTATGTGTGCATATTATTTAAAATGAATTAAAAATATTCACTACACTTTGGTTTTCATTTAAATATAATACATCGTCACATATTATTTAAATACCGATTATAAGGATACTTATATTTTAACAGCTGCCTCTTGATTTTTCATAACATTTAAAAATTTAATCGACTCAGCAGCCAAATGAGCTATGACTACTTTTTTATTCAATAGGTAAATAAGTAAAATATATAGATGAGCAGGATGACAGATACATAGGCAGATAGGTAAAAGTCAATTATTTCCTAATCCAAGTTTTAACGAGTCATGGAAATTTCTCGAATTGTTTATGTCGCATCAACTTACGAACAAATAAAGCATGCGACTTATACCACAGCATTGCATTCTGTTTTCGTCTGTCCGACTTGAATATATTTGAGGAATATGCTTTCCAGATCTCTGCAAGTGGACGGACACGAAAAGATGCTAGATCATGCTTAATCTTATGCGAGGACTTATGGCTAGGATGATCTAGAGAGGATCAACAATCTGTAAGGTTCCGTCTAGGGATGATATTTACTTTAATGTCGTAGGGCAACTAATTAGCGATACGCTGCCACTACGTCCAAAAAAAAGAGGATGATAGTATATATACCGTTATGCTGAAGAAGACAAAAAAAGTAGAGGAATTACATTTTTATGATCTACCTTAAGACGTCGTTGCGGCTGAATTTTTTTCACTTTCAACATGAAAGTGGGCGTTATACGTGTGCCCTGTAAAAAGTTTAGGTCATTTCCAAATTCTTTTCCGAATTTGTAGGCGATATCTTAATTTTCGCTGAAGGGAGAATCGCTACCAAAGATATTACGCAGGTGGGCAGACGGACAGATGAATAGACGAGCAGACGGACATGCTTAGGTGCATTTCGAACTTACAACGGACCAAGAATTTGTATATATCATGGGGTTTTTAAAGTTTTTATATATAATTTGTGGAGTCTCTGAAGCTTGCATCGGGGCGTTGCAAACATTTTGACTAAATAAATATGCCCCTCGCCCTTCAATGGTGGGTATAAAAACAAAAAAAAAAATAAATGAATAAATGAATGTTTAAATAAATAGATAGATAGGTGGCGGGATCGGTAGATGAAGACATAAGTAAATCAATCAATACATAAATAAAAAAAATATATATATATAAATAAATAAATATGTAGATAAGTAGATCGCTGAATAAATAAATAAGTAAATTAATAAAGATTAACAAACAAATAAATAGTAAGATAAATAAATAATCAATTAGTTAAACACGTAGATGAGAATATATTAGGAGTCCCTTCCGCCACCTATAGATTATAAAAAAAAGTAAGAGAGGAAGTTCCAAATCTAAAACTCTCGCGACAACATCTTCTCGATCCCGAATACAATATGCATTTTGTCTTTGAATTCTTGATTCGTATTCTGTCGCCAGCTTGAGTTCGCTTCTTAGTTGAATCAGATTAAAAGACAAAAGTGTACGAATGCCGGAGCCTTGGTAATTTTACTTTCACTAAGGGACCGTTAAGTGAATTTTTTATGGATTATTGTGAGTTTGGGCATCTACTTGTGTTATGCTGGCCTAGTATTTATTATACATAGCGCCTGTTGAGCAATACATTTACGAATGAACAGTGCAGGCAAACAAGCTAATTGCGATATATAACAATTACTTGTTTACACTTCCATAGCATGTTAAGCTTATGCTTATGCCTAAGTTTATAGTAAATTACATTTCACTTGTACAGTGCTTGTAAGCTTCAAAGTAGTGCAATTAAGAGGCAAAAACCCAGGAAGTAAGGCATTAAATCATTATATGATCCAACAAGTCATATCTATGTAATTTCTTTAGTATCTTGTCTCATGATTTTTTTATTAGCATCGAGTTGAATCTAGCACTTCAACGATTTACTACGCACTTCCCAAGTCAAATATAGCCGATTCGTCTTAATTGCGATTTCTCTTTTAAGAGGATTGTGACAATTTTCCGAATATTTCCCACTTAGGAGGAGGGAAATAATTGCATAAAAGCTGAGAAACATTAACGAATGACGTTTAAATTGCTAAGTAGCATGTAAGACTTTTTGACGTTCCTCACAGCCCTTTTTTGCCCCCATTGTCGTTTCGGTCTGTCTACGTCAAAAGTGTAAGCGTAGAAATCATCCTGAAGGATGTTCTGATATCTCAATGCGAAAGAAAGTATCGGGAAATTCTTCACTTAAATTTTATGCAACTTTTCGCTTTCGTTCGCTTTCGTATCATTCTATTCTAATTCCAATTTGTTAGTTAGAAAATTGTTGTAGAGCGTTAGTAAGCAACTCTCTAAAGCGTTCCTCAAATTTTATCTTCCTACGAAATTCTACGATATTCATTCATCAAACTGCTGTATTCGTATTGGATTAGTGACAAGTAAATATAAGTATAGAGTATATTTTATATTATTTTTAAAAATTTCCATCATTGAGTTAACTCATTTGGCTTATGAGTCAATTTTTTATCGGAATATTCTGATTCGTGTTTTTTTTTCCATTTTTTCTTTTGTTTTTTAAAGCAAAAGCAATTAATAGTATTATTATCTGCTTCAAGCGTTGCTAACATTTTGTTATATTTTTTAGGTAAATTAATATTTTTATTTATTTATTTATTTATTTATTTTTTTGCTTATTTGTGTTTTTAACAATTTTCTAGGAATCCGCCAGCGGAAATTAGTTAGTTTGGCCTTTAAAATAACTGTTGTGTGTTAGGTGTGTTAGGTGGGAAACAATTTAACAGTTTACTCTTTAACAGGTACCGAAAGCTTAACGGAGCCACGAAAACAAAATCAAAAATGAATAAATAAAACAAGAATTAATTCCATATATAGTCGATTGAAAGTTTGGTTTAGTTATAAGAAACTTAAGATAATATTTAAGAAAGTTTTCTGTTAAGTTAAAAAAGTAAGTAAGTAAAATTTTGATTTCATTTTCCATAGTCTTGCGAATTATAGGAATACAAATCTCTTAATGATATCCATAATAGGCTCTGGTTTTCTCTTTTCTCTTCATTATAATTGACATGCTTAGCGCGTGTGTCCTAAACCCGAAAGTTAAAACGTTTCATGCAATAAAAGAAAAATTCTGCTTGTACACACAGCAGGAGAATACAACAAAAAAAAAAAAATAAAAAATAAAAAATAAAAAAAAAATAAAAAAAATAAAAAAAATAAAAATACAAAAATTGATTTCATAAAGAGTGGTAATAGACTATAAATAATAATAATAATAATAATAATAATAAACATCATCTAAAGGAAGCTTCCTTTCGGTTTTTGTATTTCTTTCGCAAGAGGAGCACATCCACTTTTATAGCAAAATATACCCAATAAAACTCAAAAGATTTGGAACAAACTTCAGGTATCTATTGTGATTTTTGTAGCCCCTAGAAGTTCAACAGTGCGTGGACAGATGGACAAAACCAAGTTCATAAAGAGCCCAAGGTACAATTGTATCTATCTTTAAAAGAGAGCCCGAGAGGAATATATATATATAAGCAAATGATTGGGTTCGTGCCGAAAGAAATTGCTGCGCAAGACGAGCTGGGTTTCGAACAAGTTGATTAATAGATGTAAAAAATTGAATTGTTAAAGGAAAATCAAGGGGAAAGTGCTTACCGCAAATTGTCCGCTAAGTTTGTAACGAATGCTCAGTCTACTATGAGCTGATGGGGAATTCAGATAGCGGAATTCACAATAAAATTGCTTGATGTTATCAGGTCAGTAGAGCTCAAGTCAGAGGTGATTAAAAAGAAAACTTACAGAAATGCATGCCTAGTAAGGCAGATATTCACGGTAGTTGAAGTAAACTAAGAAATAATTAAAGTTTTGGAAAATTTAAATTATTATTGTTTATTAATGATTATCGACGATAATTATAACGATAATGATGCAAAGTCATCGAAGATTATCGACGATAAATTTGTCTAATTATCCATATAAGTGTTTGCGATAGTTCGATAGGCGTCAATAATTATCTTAAATAGTTTTTCGTTCAATTTGTAAAACGATCAACATAACTATTCTCGATATCTCGATGCTGTTCGATAAATTTGTATCATTATCAATATGACTATCCTCTTGTATTATTATCAACATGACTATCCTCGATAGTTCGATAATTGTCGATGAATTTGTGTCATTATTAAAAAAAGCTATCGTCGATAAATTTCATTATGAACATAATTATTCTCGATAGTTTAATAATCTTCAATAAATTTGTTTCGTTCTCAACCTAACAATTCCGATAAATGTATATCATTATCGATATATCGATAATTTTTTATATTTATCACTACAATCAATTTTCGATGATCCGATTGGATTCGATTCGATTCGATAATTTTTTAAAGACCATTTTCTAATTATATAATATATCGTCCGACTATTAACATCTTTTCAATAAATTGAACGATGATAGTAAGAAAATTATATCATGCCTTGTATTTGATATACGAGAGAACTTTTCCGTCAGCCTAATATTGTCCACGCAGAATAAACGATTAAATTGTTTGCCATCGAAAGCTTTGTTTCTTGTTCTATGCATTTATTAATTGTCATAATATAAATAATAGCTTACTATATAGGGGTTATTATCTGATTTTTTTTTTCTCAGTATAGATGCGGTGTTATTATTATAATTTAAATAAATTAATATTATATTTGCGTTTACAATTTGTACGATCATTTCATTTAACAAGTCTAAAGAACAAAATTAATAAAAATTTTTTTTGTTATTGAATTTAATTAAATTTTTTTATTCTTTTTGTTTTTGTTTTTGTTTTTTTCAAAAGAATTTATTTACTTCTTAAACGTTGTAAATCATTATCATGTGACAAGTTATACAAATACTGCGTCTGATAGTCTAAATGATTGCCATTATCTTCGTCGAAAACTACGGGATCTTTAAAAGATTCATTACTGCCATCGTCAATAAAGGCAAAGTCCGAAAATTTAATTGGGATATTGTTTTTAGGATCGTGTTGTTGCTGTAATGTGGTGCGATTTTTAATAATACTTTGTGTTAAATCAGCTTTACGGTCAGTCGGTTGAAAATGTTTGAGAAACGCTGAATTCGAAATTTGACTTATTTTCGTTTTGCCATCATTAACGACGTCAATGTCGCTCTCAACTTCATCATCATTTTTCGCATTATTGGCCTCGTGTAATTGTGTGGTTATGGCTCGTTGCTCATATTCTATTCCCGGCCGTATTAGATAATCAAAAATTGTTGCTGAGGGCATGACATTTACAGGCGATAACAAATGCCGCTTTTCAGGCATTTCTCGCCCATACGATGATTGTTGCTTATAATAAAGTTCATCTTGCTGCTCACGTTCTTTGGGTCGCACGACATTATGCCACGTGTAACTATTAGTTGACGGTGTATTAAACATGCGTTTGCCCACATTTTTCAATATTGCACGATTCAATTCGACCTGCATTGGAAAAGTTAAGCAGCAAACAGAAAGCATTACAATTAAAAGTTTTATGTAAATTTTTGTAAATCTTTTTTTTTTTTTTATTCTTACGCAATAGTTATAACACACCAATAACGAAAATATCAAAAACACTTTAAGTTCGAACTTTAAACTTTAAAAGAATAACATTTGGCAAAGAAAAATTTCACTTCGATTTCCTCCCATCCTTTAACTCATCTAAAAAGAGAGAGATAGAGAGAGAAAGAGAGAGAGAGAGAGAGAGAGATAGAGAGTGGAGAAGCGGGGGGAAGGGAGAAGCAGCAAGGAGCAAGGAGAGAAACGACTACAACTTAATACGAAAAGTGCCCTAAGTTTCTAGATTGTGTGGTTGCACGTGTCGAAAACGCTTAAAAGAAGATTAAAAAAACCCGCTTATTATATTATTTGCTTTGCTGGTAATACATGTGCTTCGTTACAGTTTCATATTTATCAACGGGCAACACAGTTATATTGACTTTGTCATTCTGTTTGTCAACTTGTACGACTTTATTCCTGAATAACTGCGAACTCGTAAGAACGAGCTAACTATTTAACTATCTTTTGTTAGTACTCTCATGTTATCAAAATTTAAATTTAAATTTCGCTGTTATCGTTCTGTTTTAAAGATGCTTATAACTCGTAGAAGCTTTTCAAAAAAATAAAAAAAGTAACAAAAAATGGCTTTAAAATTCTAAAACGTCCCTATGAGCGGTATTGCATTTCCACTCATTGGCTCCACTGCTGCCGTATATTTGTAAAACAATTGGATGATCATTTAGTAAACGAGTTTGGTGCGTTGAAAAAATCTCGAGAAAGAATAAATTTTAGACAAGATTTTCAGCGACAGCATCCGAGCCGAATAACCGTGTAAGCAAGAATCGCGATCAAATCCTAATGCAATAGAGTTTACATTTATCATAGTCGATAGTCGATGAAGGCATAATCGCTACCTAGCTTTTTTTTGGTCGCTACCGACTAGCAACTCAATGGTCGTGGACTTTTTGACTAGCAACTCAATGGTGGTGGGTTCAAACCTCAAGTGCGGTAGAGCTTTTAATAAAGGCGAAAGCCTTAGATGCTAGTGCTTTAAGACTTTAGTCCTAGAATTTATTCTGTGGCTAAATTTATAATAATAATAATAATAATAATAATAATAATAATAATAAAACAAAAAACAACAAAAAGAAAAGATGGAAAGCTTCACAGCATTCGCTACGCACCCTAGGGGATCGAAAAATTTCAAAAGGAAAACGATACTTGCGGAAATGCCTAGCAGAGGGCGCTTCAGAATCTATCATATCCTATAGGTAGGAAATAAATTCTCAGACTAAAAGTATGACGAGCATTAGCGACTAAATCTATCAGCTCTCGTTTTTTTTTTTTGTTTAAAAGGTAAACTAGATAGTTAGATGGACCAAGTGGCTTAATAAAATTAAAAATTCTATCAATATTTCGCTTTCCATATACGTTCAAGTGGCCCATAGGGTTAGATAATCCGAAAGAAAGTCTTCAAGTATTGAAAAGATTTCGACATTCAAACAGTGTATCTGTATAAGATTTCTGAAGGCTCCGTTCATGTATTGGAATAGTATGACCAAGGTGAGAGTCTTACATCTTGATTTTCATCAATATGTAAATGTTTCCCTTGCTTCACTTGGTATAAAAATGCTGATTCCATTGTTTCTCTTCATATGGAAAATCATTTGGACTCGGTGAGACAAGTGAGCTTGAAATACTTCCATAGAGTCAAGCGTTAAAACAATTCCTCTTTCATTTTTAGTTGACGCCTAATAAAAACGTTATATATTATATTATATATGTATATGCATTATATAATATATGTTGCGATTTCAGCAGAAATCGAGTTGAAAATGAGCATAAAATGCTTAAACTTGCAAAAAGAAAAGAAAAAACGCCAAACCCAAAAATGTTGGAAACAAAACTTTTTAAAAGAATATTAGGGATCAACCTCAGCCCATCGATTTGATATGTAATTCCAATAATTTTAAGGCAGGAATTGAACAGTAGAAGAGTGTAAAAGCAATGAAGATCGCTTAGTAGATTTATAGGAAGTAATAACTTATGACTTTGTAATAGAAGGTATTCCAGGTTCACTCTAACGTGTATTTAACTTTGTTACTCGCTTAACACATTTCGCTCTCTTTGCAGACATTCTTTTGCCTATTATTTCCCTCCGGCAAATAAATACATTTAAGAAATTTCTTTACGATATTTTCCTTCTTACATTATTTTATTTTATTTAGACGACAACGACATCGCGTTGCTTGTAAACACTTCAGCCCGTCAATGGGTGCTTGTGATATAACATAAACAAGAATTTGTAAACTCGTCTCATACATTTTGTCATTTTGCAGATATAGCATCTAACGTATACTAGTTTTACTCTGATTGCTTATGCATGTAGCACATGTGTATGTGGGTTTGTGTGTGTGTATATGAATGTATGTATGTTTATTCAGAAAATGTAAATATAAAATGAATGCAGGTATATACATCATCCTATAGAAAGAGACAAAAGTACATATATAAATCGAATTGTCGACTATTTTTTATATGCATATATATATAAACGTTTCTACATAAATATATTTAAAACCTATTAAAAGAAAAAGAAAAAAAAAAGAGAAAATATTTTTGAAAAAAAGTATGTTTAGAAAAGTTTTATAAATATAAAATTTCATTTAAATGGAAGAAGAGAACTTTCGACCTTGTCTCACCTATATTTTCAAAGCGTATATAAAAGTTGGACGACCCGTAGGTGTTATCGATCGATAGCTTGTACCTCGGACATATAATTATATATGCGAATATAATTTTATTTATTCTGCATTTGGGTTACAATACATTATTATGTATTCCCGCGTTATAAAGTACTTTCCCGTTCATTCGTCTTCCCATGCGGTAACTTTGTACTTCAACAGAAAACGTTATATGCGATATATGAACATTTCAATTAAATCGGAACATAATTGGCGAAATTAAAAAATTTTCGACATTGGACGGCATAAATCACGCTTCTGCAGCAATTACCGAAATGAAACAACACACATTAAATGCATGCTGGAAAGCAGTCTAGTCAGAATATGTCGTTAATAGAAAGAAGTTCAGTCGCAAAAATACATCAATATTAACGACAGCAATCGTTACGTTACCACATGACTTTGGCGGAGATTGGTTTAGTAATTGCATTGAAAATTTCAATTTTTAGTTAATTCGCAAGGTTTTCAGAAATTTTTTATGCGGTCTCTAGTCAACGGATAAAAATAACACTTTGTAATTGTGCTGCGAAAACTATTTTTTTTTTAACTATTAGTGAACTCTTGTGGGATTTTTTTTTATGCGTTTTATTTTATGCGGTTCCTATTTACCGTACAAAAATAGGTTTGAGTATATATGCACTTATCCTCATTCGACTTTCTACCGCTAAATACTGGACATTTTAGGTTTTGTTTTGCCTTTTATAAAGAAAATATCTCCTCGTAGGTGATTGCTCATTCACTTTTTCCACTTATTTTAGTGAATAATTCAGTTCATAATTGTACTTTTAGTTGAAAATGCCTCGTGGAAGGGAACTTTTGGGAATGAGACGTGTTGGTAAGATACCTGGCGGGGATAGCAGTTGCGATAAAACCCGCCGGACCGCAATTCTAAAAGAAACTGATAATTATGGTTGCATTAAGCACAGTGGACCCAACCGTATGATCACCATAAACATCCTCGACTGTCGTGTTACAAGCATAACCGTGGCGGTGAATCTCTTACGATACGAGCTGCATTTGTTGCACGGGGAAATGTAAAAATATGCTGTTGGCTTGTTAGACATAGTTTAGTAGACTATGCTGGAGAGTTATGTGTAGTGACAATTGGACGTTTCAACAAGACAACGCTCCAATCCATGTCAAATGATTTACAATGGTTTGGATTCTTTTCCAATTACACAGTCTAGCTTCACCAGTGTGATGGCCAGCTATTAGTCCCGACTCCAAAGCAATTGATTGTCTTTGGGGAATACCTTTCGCCAAGATATTTTTCAAACCTAAGCAGTATTCTGCGCTTAAGGAATGTACACTTTAAATATTGTCGGAATGAGAGAAACTTGTTACGACCACTTCGAAGGACGTGGTAGGGTGTTTGCCATGCAGACTATAACAAGTCCTCATCCAAAATAATGCATTGCACTTATAAATATTCGCGTAGGCGTATTACGAAAAATTGAACCAAGAATATAGGTATGAAGAAAAAGCTTAATGCCGTTCTGCAGATATGGCGAAGGAACTCATTGATCAAGGATGCATCATATTAATATATAGTACTTTAGATGATGTGATGCAAACTCACTCAAGCCTGTGGTTTTTGCAACAAGAATAATGACATACCGTATACGCTCATTTCTTTCGATAGCTTATGTAAACTAAGTAAATGAATTGCTGGTCGATATCTGCTATGATAGACTAGTGCAGACGCAACAATTAAAACTCACCCGCATCATCAAAATCTCATCAAAGTGCATTTGAGCAATAAAAAATTTTAATTAAAATTTGAATTTTGAATTTTGAATTCATAACTTTGAAAGCTCTTCTTTCACAAAAATAATGAAATATAATGAAACAAATGAAATCCAATAAAACATTTCGCTAAGATTTTAGTTAACGAAGCACATATCAGTGAATATGCCAATTATCCATTAAAACCGCTTTACTGTATGCATAGCTTAAATGCATTTGCTTTCCTAACCGTGTAATTGCGTTTATCTGCTTAATAATTACTTAATAATCAATGATAAACAAACAAAATAAGCAAAAAAAATAATAATAATAATAATAAAGAGACATAAGAGCAAAACAATAAGAAAAAGAAAGCAACTCAGAGGCTAACACAGTGGTCCCAAAGTGTAAACGGCATCGGAGGCCGCTTTTATCACAGAGTGGAATCAAGGCTGCACGAGTTAGTCTGCATTGTTGATAATTGGAATCCGTTCAGCCTCAATAAAGAAAACTCTACTAAATGTATGGGTAAACCGTTGGACTGCATGGAGGACATGAAAACGAGAGATCTCCCTAACAAAGCACGGTCCCGTTCAGGATGATATGACTAAAACAAGAAAGTATTTAAAAATCATTGTAAAGGATTTCTCCGCTGCGTACGGTAAGTGGCAATTTCGATGCAGACAACTCGAAAATAGCCACACGATCACACAAACTTACTGTAAAATAGTGCAGAGTTGTAAACTGATCGATAATTATAAGCTTCACTATGGCTACAGTGCGGAATGAGCTCTCGAAAACAATATAAAGAGCAATTTAAGCTTTTTGGTTTCTCTTTATAGCCATCACTGAAGGATTGTGGTCTACGCATTTAGTTTTCTCTCATAATGCATGTGACGCTCAAAGGGAAGCTTTAGAGATCCTATACAGTGTATATGTCTGGCCATCTGCACGCTGCGTAGTGTTTGTTGTTGGCACTCTCCTGGTGGCAAGAATTAAGATATCGACTTCAAATTTAGTAGAAACATTAGAAGCAGATTGGTGTTGAAAGTGGGTAAAATTGGCCGTAGTGGACATAAACCCGCAGTGTAACATAAACTGAACGTAAGTCTGTTTTTTATGGGTTTTTGCTCGTTATTCGAAGACTATTGAAGGTAGAAGGCTGATACCTTTCCACAGGTACTTTACGAGACACTCTTTTCTTTACGTGGAAAAATGAAAACAATCGGCCATGTCCACACAAAGCTACAAGTAATTAAATTCTGTTTTTTCCCCTTTTTTGAGGTTTTATGCTTATTTGTCATAACGCAAACAAGGCAGAATGTTTGAAACTATTTTGCACATTCCTCAAATGAAGATAGATTATCTGCCTAAAAATGGGTTCATTCGAGTATGGACATCGCGATTAAATTTCTCTTAAGCGATTTCTCTCAGCGATACGGGTACCAAATAAAAGGACTTGGAGAGTGGAATTAGAAAAGCATAGTCATGGGTATGTGAGATTCGGCCCTCACCGAATATAACGTTCTAATTTGTTTCCCTTTATTTTGAATAAATCCAAAAAAGACTAGAAAGCATGAAGAAGTTTTGCGCATAGCTCATTTTATAGTTAGTCTAGCCGTAGCAGAAAGTAAATGCGACAACTTTACTGTTAGTATTTCCTTAAAAGTTTGTACCCCTTTGATACAAGTGACGCGCAATCCACTTGTAAAAGCTTTACACTCTTGAAGAGATTGCCATTTTCATCTTAAAGATGCATTTTAAAGTAAAAATATATGAAATTCATTTTCCACTTGCATGTGTACATGTGTACATGTATATAACAATATCATAGACATTTCCGTGATAATATTACAAAAAGTATAGAGAAGTAGACAAAAAAAAAAAAAAAAAAAAATAGAAGAGAAAATCACAATTGCGGTTATGTTTCACTTACCTGTCTTGTATTTTCTTTCATTTGCCTACGAGCAATTTCTAGCAACAAACGCTGTCTTAAAACGTCCAATGGATTCACAATCGACAAAGAAGGTTTGTTGCGTTTCGTAATAACATTATCATCCTATGTGCAAAAAAGAGAGAAAAAAAACGAAACAAAAAATACATTTTTTTTTTCTATTATATATGAAATAGTTTATGTTAAATATTTAATCTTTTTGCCAATCACATACATACACATTGTTTTGTTTATAAAATTTCAAAAATTTTCATTCAATTTTTCAAGGGCTTTGTAAATATTACGCCAAATTTTTTGTACTTAGGCTTTAGGTTGCATGATGCATTCTTTGATAATTTTTGTTGGTTTTTCCAAGTATTTTATGTACCTTTACTTTGCCGGGCACTTTTGAAGGTACAATGGAAATTGCATTGAACTAAGGAAATGCATGCAAACCGGTAATGGAAACGAAAAGACGAATGGACAGCAAAGATTGAAATGATTAAGAAAATGTTGACATCGGTCAAGGCGCTCAATCAATCAATTTCAATTCGATCAATATAAAAATCGTAGCTCCGAAGAAATTCTGTTGAAATTAGTGGTAGACAAAACAACGTTCGTGCTTTTCCTCCTATTAAAAACTGATAATATGAATATATGATAAATGTATGGAAAGCATATCATCTAGCTTGGTATGGCAGAAGTAGCCAGAAGCATAATTCTTTGCCTTTTATAAAGAGAATGCACAAGTTGTCGAAATTAATCCATTAATGCGTTCGACAAAGTTAATGAAATCCTCCTCACCGTGAGGACACTATCTGTAGGTGTCTCTAAGCGAAGTTAACTTATTTAAACTTATAGAGCATAATAAAAACAAATTAAACCGCTCCAGTGAGCAATGGTCCACCCTCAAATATCCTACGCTAATTCGTTAAACACTTTACGTGCGGATAGGTTAAAAAAGTGGATCGTCATGCACCATTTTCAATAGCATTCAATAGCAATAACATGTCAGTGTTGCAAATCTCATCAAAATAACTAAAAAACGGCAAGAAAACAGGATAGACAGATGGACAGAAGGACAGACAAACTTAGATCGATTCAGAAATTGATTTAGAAAGTGATTCTGAATCCATTGGCGTAACAAAAGATGGACGTTTCGGAACTCCTTCCCTCTGTACCCTCGTACCGCCAGGTGTACCGGATTTGATTAACAATTTTCAAAATATGCGAACTATAGGTTGAATACAAGAAAACAGCACAGAGAGACATACACGCGGACCGACTGATAAACGACCTTAGATCGATTCAGAAAGTCATTATGAATCATCAGATATTTCAAGACATTAGTTTTGCGTAGAATATTTTTAAAAAGAGACTTCGTCGTCCATTTGAACAGCGTTCATCTTTGGGCCAAACCCCTTCTGTGAACCAAATTTTATTAAAATCTCTCAAAAATTGCGATCTTTAGGTTGAACAGAACTAAACAAGATACGGACAGACAAACTTAGATCGATTCAAAAATTGATATTAAATCGATGCAAAAATTGATTTTGAATCGATCGGCTTAATAAAGAGTAGGTCTGGATCACCCGCGGTGCTCCTATGTTACATGCGATTGCACAAATTTAATATAACTTTTCACCGCAAGTAATGCAGAGCATGGATTAGTCTTTCTGTCGTGAATATGAAAAACATTTAGGAGGATCAAGGATCTGCTGTAAGTCCGAGCCAATGTAAAAGATATAAATGCAAAACGATTCGTTTAAGCGTTTTCCTACCATGGGTATAAGAATCATTTAAAGTCAAGGACCTTTGTCACCCCAGGTGCGATCAATCTACATTTAAATCCAAATATTTCTCCAAAAAGTCGTTCTAAGAAGAGATCGAGTTCAATGCTGGTTTGATGCCAAAAGAAAATGAAAAAAAAAAGAAACCTTTGTAGAATTCTTCTAGATACACCTTCCAAATATCACGCATGCCGTCTCCTGCCACACCTCTATAAATTGCTTTCATGCATTTGCAATTCTTAATGGCGTGACTTCCGCTGCAGAGAGCGCGAGAGAAAGAGAGAAACTTTTCGTTTATTCTTATGAATGAATTTTATTTATAAAATTATTTTTCAAATGAAAATTTATATTAATTAAGTTTTTTGCATTTATAAAATTATACACCTAAGAGCTTTCCTATATGCATAAGCAAATGTTCGCAAGCACTTGTGTTTCAACTTTGAGTTTCCAGGAGGAGTTTATATAATCAGTATACTGTCGCCTGTCTTTACCTTATCTATGATGTGTTCGTTGGTCTACAGCATGTAAAAGCAATATGTGTAGATATTGCTCTCTTGATCTGCTTACACTTGCTTATATATATATATATATATATTCTATTGACTTTATTTACGTTTATGTTTACTTAACTTCATGTCATGACATTTGTGACTTTTAACTTCATTACAAACCGTATTAGACGAACGCATGCAGAAAATGAAGGGGACCGTATAAGATTGTATTACTTTTTTATATGTATATTTTATATATATGTATTTTTAACTATACTTTACGATACATTTTATGAATATATTTATGGGTTCATATACACCACACTCACGCACACACATCTATAAACGACTGCATGCAGGTATGTTGTGTTATCAATTTATTCGAATATAAATTTTATTCTCATTTCGAAAAAAAAAAAAAAAAGATTGTATCGTAGGATGACAATTATTAACAATGTAACGAAAAATTTATATAACTAATTTGCTGTTGTAAGACAGTGGGCAGAGCAAGTTTTTATTGTGAAGCTATGTTGTGCTGTCGTCAACGCCGTAAATTTAAGTTTCGATTATAATATAGTCTTATAACGGTTTAAAGCACCTATGCAATGCACATTTTTTTTTCCATCGGTAAGCAAAAATGTTTTCGTTTCGTCATATTTTGCAACTTTTAAAAAATGACTCCAATCGTACCCAGTAAAGACTCAAATCGTACTCACATAAACTAATCGTTTATTGTAGAACACACACAGCACAGATGATGTATCAATATTTTTGTTATAATTTTCGAATTAATTTAGCGGAATTGACAGATACGCAGATTAGTAGAGGACGGATGACAGAGGATCATAAAACACGCAATTTAGTGAACTAAAAAATTAATCGACAATAAACACTGCAAGACACTGCAAGATAGAACGACAAACAGACTACAGATTAATGAAACTGATTTCGGGATTTACAGCATCTTCTGACACTTGGACAACGGCTATTGTATTTCGAACTAATGTGAAGCAACGGCAGCGAAAAAATGAATTTTTGGTAACTGCAACGGAATCTACGATGCAAAGAAGTATTACAATGCATTCCTCGGAAATTACTTAAAGTTACAAAAAAAAAAAAAAGGGAAATAAAAATACGTAAGAGTTAGAGCTTCGTAATAGATATGTAGTATCATCATATCATAGCTTGATTGTGCATAAAATATTAGATTTTTATGTGGTCATCAAACAACAAGCAAACAAGCAAAGGGTAAAGAATTACCTTAAGGAGCGAAAGGCTGGAAACAGTCTAATGGGCTACTTAAAAAAACAAGTAAGACATACTTATAAATGAAATAAACAAAAAAAAGTTAAAGAATTGAAATTTTTTCATAAAAACTCTCTCTCTCGCGTGAAAAATAAATCTTAAATTTCCTCATACTTATTAAACACATACAGTCAACACAATAAACGTAGCATCAACCTAAAGCGTAAACGCTTTCTTTAGAAACGAACTATTGCCGCTAAGAAGAACTTTTTGAAAAGCAACAACATTATAGTCGAGCAAGGCCGACCATTCAATAGCCTTCAGCACATTGTCTCACACCATTATAGGATACAAAAATTATACCTTGTTTCTGTATAAAGACACATTTTTCATGTGCGTATATATTGGGAAGTCGGCCTAAGTCGCAACCTAATGTAATACAAGTTTAACCTTTACATAGCGCAGGATTTAAAAATAGGCATGGGCAGTCCAAATTTTATAGAGTTCATTTTTTTATGAAATAACTCTTATGGATCAATTTCCATCGCCACATATTAAAACTTGGACTTTCTGTTCCACTAAGGGTCAATTTTCCTTATTAGGGTAGAATCCAAAAAACATGCCGAGAAAGTCCAAATATGGGACAGTTAATTTTTTAATGTTAAATTACTATTATGATATAATTTTCATCGCGAAGCATTGCAAATTATACCTTTTTTTCGTGTGAGCTTCAGTGTTCGTTATATGAGGGGGTTCAAAAATGCCCCAGCCAGTCCAAAGTTTCCATACCAAGTTAGAATGCCAAGACACTACTACTTAGGCACTTTTGTTGAGAAATTTTGAATGATAGGGCGTTGTAAGGGGAGTGGTCGAAAAAGTGAACCAATCCAAAACATTTTCAATGGCGTGTGCCAAGGCCAAAGGCCTTAGAAAACTTAGTGTACTTAATGGTGTGGGATATAAAGAAGACATTCGCAAGAAGAAGGCTCTCGTTCTCATTCTCGGCCTGTTTTTTTTTTTTTTTTGCTTACCTAGATATTATGGAATATAAAAATTTAGTTCTTGTCCTCATTTTTAGTCCTTTTTAGGACAAAGATGAGTGGATGAGTATAAAAGATTCGGTCACGACCGACTGTAATGTTCTTACTTGTTCGTTTCTTTCTTACATTTCAATACATGCCTAATAAACTCTCTGAATATTGTTATTCTGCTCTCTTTTTTTGCATGCAAAAAAAGAAGAAGAAGAAATTGGCAAGAAAAAGGTCCTCTTTTCAGGCTCTAACAGCAGTGTTTGCACTCCTTCTTCTTCTTCTTCTTCTTCTTTTTCCTCTCTAGTAAAACCAAATTGAATCTAAATTCGGGGGTAAACTAATACTTATGTCCGCTATGCGCTGTTTTTTGCTCTTTGTACCCGAGAATCAGATGCAAAATGTTATTAAAGTTTTGAATATCGCAGATTAATTTTTGCAAACTTTACAAGGTAAACAAAAAAAAAATGTACATTTTTTCAATGATTTTAACATTTAACGCAATAAGCGCAACAGACTTCCAATGATGACAAACAAACAGTTATTCAAACTCGATAAGTAATTAAATCTATAATGGAGAGTATTTAAATTAAATCTTATCAGCAAATAGAATTTATGGCCAAATATGCAGGCATACGGTTGTCCAGAGAAAAAAGTGAACAACAAATCATTCAAATATTAATTACTCAACTTGCGTGGAACGGCGGGGGTTCGATTTGCATTCTTTAAATTAAAAAATATATATATATATATATATATATATGACAATCATTTTTATAGCCTCCACCATATTGGGTGTCATAGGGTGTATTATGCAACATCCAGAAAGGTTTTGAGATAAAAGCATCGTTCATTATACCGCTCTGTCCGTCTGCGCATGTATTTTTTTTTTTTTTGCTGCACCTACAGGACGCAAATTTTTAAGACATATTGACGAAAGAACGAAAACTATTGAGAATGGTTCGGATCGGATCACTTTTTCGAACGCTCCCCACATAATGGCTTCTTTTTAAAAGTCGTTGAGTAAAAAAATATTGTAATTTTCAGAATTTCAGAATAAAATTTGCCAAGTAAGGTCGCTTCGGCAGTATAAATCGGTGGGAAAAACTTGGATCGGATGGGACAATTTTTTTAATCCTCTGCCACATAATCTTTCCTATAGAAAGTGAATTCTTATATCACAAAGGAGTGTAATCATCAACATTTCTTGACGAAAATTTCTTCACAACAACAATTTGACACGAACCTTACCGAGCTTGGACCATGTTGGTATATTTTCTATATTTCATGCCGTATAAGGATTCCGATGAAACATAAGTCTTTTACTTCGTAAAAGTATTTTTGATATAAAACTGAATTGTAGCTCTATTTTTTCACCTCATCGCACAAAACGGTTCTTATGAAATATTAAATATTATATGCAAGAAAGATCTAATTGTAATATTTTATGATGAAAATGGTTTCGCTGTTCGGTTATTCAGACCTCGTCATATGCAACAACTCTTGTGAAAGGCAAAAATCTAAAATGTTTTTTATAAAGAAAATCTACTGAAGAATAACAAAATCTTTAAGTTTGCTACGGTAGTTCATGTATCAACTATCCAACCAGTAAGAAAACTATGCGTTCACATAACAAAATGTATGATTTTTGTTTCATTATCATGAAAACGATGAAATCACTAACCCTATTAGGCGAACTGATGCAGGGTATCTAGAGGGTGGCTTTGCCGGGTTATAGTGCTCTTGTTCTTGATATTTCGCAATGAGAATTGCAGTTTGACATAAAACTCAATATCATATATATGTGACGACAATCAGTTTTGAATCGCGTTGGTCTATTTTTTGCATCCTTGCGCCTACGTAAAGATCCTCAAAGACGGTAAGCTCTTATATGAGGATTTCTTGATGAAAACTTGAATTAATGATGATATGCATAGTTGGACAAAAGGGAAAAAAGCGAAAAATTTGTTTACTTCTTACGGCTTTCCTAGCTTTGGATTAAATATGCTCTTGGTCGGTTTTGTTCGACTCTAAGGGTTTTACTAGCTTTTTTTATTGTAGAGTTTGCTAAAAATTAAAAATGAATTTGTCGTCGCATCGAGTTTGTTTTTTTTCCTTTTCACTAATAGAGACTTGGCAAGTTTACGAAGAGTATCGAAGACATTTGGAAGAAGCCTTTACCGTGATTTGTGGATATAGTTGGCCGATGAGAACACCAAGAACCAACTTAATTTTAACCATTTACCCAATAATACATCTGCTTGCCTTCGTAGCTATTCATAGAAAGTATGTACATTCACGTTGTCAAAGAGTTTTTCAAAAAGCCTTAAACCCAGTGTAAATTTCTCTTTTTTACTTAACTTAGATAGTGTTATTGCTATCACTAGGGATCACAGGGATTAATGCTTTGAAGCGCTAGCATCTTAAGCTATCGGCTTTAGTGAAAAGTCTACTGCATTTGAGATTGAGTTGTTAGCGGGCACTCCTCGTCTACTCGGCCATTCAGGAAAACCGATTAAATTGATTTCTTCGAAGAGTAACTTATATGTATATAGAGCGGATTCATCGAGTTGCCACATGTATTGTAGGAGCCCGTACGTAGGAGCCAGTACATGGACAGAAAAATAGACGTGTCCAGTATTTTCAAATTAATCAAAATTGAACGAATAACCAGGAAGGGAGACCCGTATCCTTTTTTAACGTCTTCACTGCGTATAAGATGAATACGAAACAAGTTGCAAACGCTTGGAAGGGATTGACGAAAACAATTGTCAAATTTAAAAATTTTTAAATTGTCCCACTCAATATATATATATATATACATAGATATAGTGAATGTCGATTAGATGTGTGTGCATACAATATATTGATGCAAAACCAAATAAAACACTTTAGGTAAAAACAAAACAAAACAAAAAGTATGCGAATAGCTTTTATTATTCCATTACCTGCAACGTATTTGATGCCATATAGTTTAACGGATGATAGCCGATTGTAAAACTTGCTCTCTGCGCTGTACAAACAAGCCTGCTGGCGCACAACACTGTTAACATGGGACACAACCAAGTGGTGGCTTTCATAATTTTTGTTGAACGCTAAATATGAAAAAAACGTATTTAGAGAAAAAGAGAATAAATTTTTGTAAAAACATTTATAAACATTTATGCGTAGATAAAAATATTTAATACGAAAATAACATAACAAACTGTCTGTCATATGCATATGCATATGCCTACGCATATGTATGCATTTTTAAGGAGGAAAAAAATCAAATTTATACAAATCGCTTTAAAAAAAAAAAACAAAAAATAAAGAAAACGCAATAAATGAAAATGCGTTGAAGGGCATGTCAGACATGGTACCACTTGAACTCGGCCGTAAATGATAAATGCTTATAAAGCATAAAGCGTCGGTAGTAAATGTCCGCAAATGTGAACGCGTGATGAAGATGATGATGAAGAATTTAACTTTTGCTAGCAAGTCGCTTATATAGAATGCAATAAAAATAAAAACAAATTCGTATCGTATTTAAATTTTAAATTTTTCTTCTTTTCCATCTTCCGATTCCTGGTAGTTTTTTGACACAACTTGGAAAGATGCAACGAAAATCCATTTTAGTTAATTAAGCAGATTTTAGTGACATACATATATTGATATGTTTGCCGATCACCATCCTAAAGACTATCATCTATTGTCACCTTATGGCCACGAAATTAGATATTCGTACTCTTGAATTTATTTACAAATAACCGATCATTGGGTTAGAGTTAATATTTCTTACAGGCAAAATAAGATAAAATAAAGAGAGATCAAAACATAATCATGATATATTCAAATTTCAATTCAATTGCGGTCCGAGGGTATATTAAGTTTGTAGGGATGTACGCACTTACAGAAAGATTTGATTTAGATTTTCCTTTTATTGTTGTTTGTATTCGATCGCATTTTTAAGAACTCCTTAAATAAAGCCTTACTTTAAAAATGCCGTTATGTGAATAACTAACCATAACAAACAAAGTGGTGTAGAATATTTAATGCTGGACTGCGTCTCGCTATAGTGGCGCTATGCAAGCGCTGCTTGTTACCGAGGCTCTTAAATTTAAAATGTCTCGGGAGAATCGCTCAAGTGCTGCCATTTTTTAATATTCTTCGGAAATAGTATTTTTTTTAAAGCATAAACCCGATAGCCTCGCCAAATACTTTTATCCTCCTTCGTCTTCTTCTTCTGTTAGTGAGCAAATCAACAACGGAAGATTCGCTGTGATTTGGCCCCATGATTTTTTTATTCTATTACATTCCCTTCCACATAAACGATTTTGGATATCACCCTTCGATATTTAATAAAGGATCGTTTAAGATAATAAAAGAACGGAAAACTTTTGAAAGGAAATTCCCGCCCGTACGTAAGCGCAGTACAATTTCACTAAAAGGTCTTTGTAAATTGACTGATGATTGATGATTCAAATTATAAACTTAAGTCGACTTCATTTATCCCAGCTGACTGCAAGGGCTTTGAAAAAAAAAAAAAAAACACTTTAAAAAAATTTGGTTATCGACAAAGTAGACTTTGAAAGAAAGAAAAAAATTAAGAAAGAAAAATTCAAAGTAAGAAAGAGAAAAAAACTAATTACAATAATTACCGAAAGGATTTTGATTTGGAATTGATCTGTTCAGTCAATGTGCAGCAGAAAAAGGAAAATCGAAGTGTAAACTCGTACTGTAAAAACAAAAAGAAAAACCGTATTAATTGAAATATACTGCAATCACCCCAGATCCGGGTGGGAGAGGCAATTGGAGCTGGTATCGTGAAATCGATCTGAAATTACTTGCAAACGTGAACAGAAGGCAGAGGAGAAAAAGACAGAGACCGTATACCCTGCAAACACGCTTCAAGTTGAAAAGGTAGAAGGAGGTATGTAGAGAGAATTTTTTCTTACATTTGCTTTAAGTCCTCAATCGGGGGTATTTACACTTTGGCCTTACACGAGATCCTCCTTACTAACATCTATCTCTATTAAGGAATCAGCTTTCAGCTTAGCTTAATTGGGGCGAGCTTTATCAAAAAACAATATCAGTACTTTTTGAAATTAAATTACAAACGAAAGCCTAAACCGGTTTAGCCTAAATCGAATAAGTCATTTAGTGTACTGTATGCATACACTTAACTTAATAGATTTGGGCTTTCGCTTAGCAAGCCTGCAAGTGTAGGAATGTGTGTAGAAAGAGGGTAAGAAACGTGCAAATAAACGTTTGGAGGCAATAAATTCGATATTCAATTGTCAAGACCTTTTCGATATAGAACACGTTACTGTAACGTAGGGATGTGCCTCTGATAGCGGTTCCGTCATAAAAATATCCGATAGTTAGTAATGGTCGGGTCTGTTGAAAATTTTTTACTATTTAATGTTTTTGTAGTAACTATATCAGAATTGGAACTCAAGATCCGTTAAGATGGGTTACTTAACGATTTTCAATTATTACGAAAGCGAGCGCGGAGTCCGGTCACACCAATTGGGCACTAACGTACGTACCATTAACTCGTCAGTTGGTAATTTCAAATAATAAAATGTCGACTATATATAAGACACATAAAAATAGGTGTAAGAAATACAATGTCTACGCAAAGTCGACGTAGGAGGGCAAGAGATTACTTGCGAAGGTTAGCAGCTATTAAGCATATCCCGCACAGACATGTCAGTGAAGAATATATCTGTAGTAGGATTTCTAAAAGTGACCAACGCAAAGTGCAGTCATATTTAGTCCACGTAGACATTATCACATTAATACATTTGCATTTCTATTGATAGCTAATGATGAGTGGCATGGAATGGCGTAAAATTTTCCCGACCTTACACTTAAAAGCCTTTAGGCTCTTAATAAACACTCATTGTACTAATAAGTGTAATAACCCTTGAATGTACACACACACTCACACATACGTATCAAACGATTAATAAGAAATCCCCCAGGTTGCAAATGTTTAATACTCTGATGAGAAAGTATAAAGTATTGATTTTTGTTTTTACTCACCGTCGCATGTTATATTATGCTTGCACTCAACTAAAATAATTAAAAGATTTTAGCCTTACGCAACAAGATTACGATTATTTGTAAATTTTGCATTTCCACATTCAAATATCTTATCCAAGCACTTGACTTGGGGATTTACCTAATTATTAATGGGTCGAATTACTCTTTCAATCTTAATCCGAATGCTTATGCATTTGTTTTCTTCAAATTTATGCAAATTTGTTATCGACACAACGATGTAAATTGATGAATGGCAAAGGTATTATGTATTACTTAGAGACTTCGGTATACCTTTGTTGTCCTTTACTCTGGCGTAAATAAATACTTTCTCTACTTTCTAAGATAAATTAATCTAAATATTTCGTAATTATTGCACATAACGGTACTTTCAAATCAAATTTCATATAAATCCTGATAAGTTCTTTCAAGTTAAATCTTATAAAAGAAAATATCAACTAATGTAAGCCATAGTCAGCCCCTTCGAGATTCAAGAGAGCAGAGGAAAGTTAAAAAATGTTAGTTAACTCTTTCATTTATAATTACATCCTACACCAGTTGTATGCTATTGAGTATATAATAAGTTTTTGCGAACATATGCAAGGCGTAGATGGACTTCAGATATACCCATCTTTCATTAGATCAATCGATTTACAAAATGATTCTGCAGCTAAGCTTGTCTCTCCGTCTGGTAGACATTTTCGAGATAATTTGATGAAATTTAGTACACTGACGTACTCTGACCGGAGGACGAACCCTATGGAAATCGGAACGGTCCAATTTTTCGCATACTTCCCGTATAGCGCTACAGTTTGAAAAGTGCTTACCTGAAAGAAAATTGCTATTTTCGAAATTTCTCGACAAGACTCGTTGATTAATGATATTCCGACCTTCGAAATTCGTGCGAAAATTATGGATCGCCTGGATCGCCAATTTCCTTAGCTAAGCCATTCCCTCTTCTATAACTGCTCCAAGCGTGCACTTTTTAATATTTTGTAGTGAAAATTGCAATTTGACAAAGAGGTCAACCTAAACGAATTTGGATCTCTTAGGTCAACGCCCCCATAAGGATTTTCAGAGAATGTGAACTCTTATATGCCGAAAAGTTCTAATCGCTAATGCTTTGTGATGCGAATTTGTTCATGGAAGTAATTTAGCACAAAAATTTAATGGATCGGCTCTGAACGACATGAGTCTACTTCTTGGACCCCATGCCATATTGGAGTTCTCATAAGTAGTAGTAGGGCTTCAGAAAATGGTTTAATTTTTCAATATTTTATAACCGGAATAGATCCTTAGTAGCAACTTGGAACTTGAAGCAACTAGACCCTAAGGTTAATAGAGGTTATCGCGAAAAGCATGCCCTTACATGATGAGAAAATATATTGTTTATGATGGAAACTGAAAATAGATTCACGCCATGTGATGTTTTGAGTATACCTTTGCATGAATGTAACGTGCAACGTAAGGTAACATAATCCCATTACTCTACTGTATTAGGCGCAGTGGTTTAGGGCCCGGCTTGATTTTTTAAAAATTTCTTATTAGCTGCAATAGTTCGTTCGTTTATTATGGTTGACTGTGTGCGTTTAACAAGCAATTTTTTAGAAAATTTAAGATTTATTTTTCGCGCGAGAGAGAGTTTTTATAGTGGAAATTAGTATTCTTTAATTTTTTTTTTATTAATTTTGTTTCATTTACTTATTAAGTAAAAGCAGTCCATCCACACTATTGCCGCTGACCTTGCGCTCCTTAAGGTATTGCTTTACTCTTTTGTTTTCGGGTTATTTGCTGATGACCACAAAAAAATCTTTGCATCGCATTTAATGGAGCAAATATTTCGCTGGCAATCATCAGCATCATCGTTTGAATGCAATTCGTGAAATGTTGTTGTGCAATTTGTCAGTGTTGTCAAGTAACGTTTATAGCTTCCGGGTAAACGAAAGCATAAGAAATATTTATGTATATATATATATATATAAGTGCAATTTTATGTTTTAAGTAGTGTTTGTTGTTTTCAGATTTTACATAAACGATATGTACGTATTTGGATCAGCAAGGAGCAACATAAAATTAATTCGAGTTTTCATCTTCTTTGTTTATAAGACAAAAAAGGAAAAAAAGCATTTAAATAAAATAATTTCATATCTTCTTTCTTTTGTTTTGCGACCATAGCCACTCCCCTAAACATATTCTTAACTAGGGTGTATGAGAGAATAATCATTAAGTCATGCTCGTCTAGCTCTTGATCAGGCGGTCATGACGGAACAAAACACCGCCTTATTCTGATGGCAATCAAAAATCGATCTCTAATCATAAACTGGTTTCTTGTCATCTTTGTACGCTTTCTTTGGTATTCTAGGTTTACCTGGTCTAGGGACCACAAGGCCTAATCTCAGATTTCTCCTTTCTAGCGGCATCCGCGTGCACTTTGAATAGACTTACGTGCAGAACGCTCACCAGGAATGAAGAGTGTCCGCCGTTAGTGGCTTAGCAATATCTATGTTACAATAAGATGTTATGGATTAAGTTTACGTCAGGTTGCATATATGACGATATATGAAATATGGATTTTTATGCTTTCCTAGGCCATTCCATTGTAACTTCTTTCGGTTGGTTATCATCCAGAAATTTGCATTCTTTTAGAGTGAAATTTCGAGGCGAATTCAATATGCCCCACCCTTTGGTCGATCTGTCATTTGGTATTAAGAGACTCTTGCTACTGCACTGCTACCTTTAATTAACTTCAAATTGAAAACTTCAAGGTCAAGCCCACATTAAGTGAGGAAAGTATAGCAATAGATAATTTGGGGACCATTTACGAGGGAAATGTTTGAAAGGTCATCTCAATTTGACGGCCTGCAAACAGACTAACATAGGTAGGCAAAGCACTTTAGTTTACTTTAGTCAATTAGGGAAATTAGTATTCAAAAAACTTACGTACAAACGTAGACATAACCATACAAGGAGCTGTTGTCAGACTGTTTCCAATCAATTAAGTGACGCATACAAATTCATCCAAAGTGCATTGTGGAATTATTGCATTCTTTTAAGCAATGCATTCATTTATATTCAGCAAAAAGATTATGCTCAACGAATTTGGGATGAAATTTTTTTCAAAATAAAAGCTTGCTGATCAATCGATAAAAATAATCACTGATGGGCGAAAATCACGAAAAGCGAAAATTTTGAGGGAAACATTGAACTGAAATTCTTGTCGTACAGCATTGTACCGTAAATATGAAAAATTATTTTATTATCTCTCATCGCAGGAAAAAGTTCGAAATGTAACAAAGTAAGAAAGTTAAATTCGGTCGGATCCGAATCTTTGATACCCAACACACGGTTATCCTAAAAGAGACAAAAGAAGTAAAAGAACTAAACTTTCATGCCCTACAACAAGTAGCGGGCGCAGTTGGTTTCTTCTATTTTCAAAATAAAAGTATGTATCGCATAGGCATGTGGGCGTTGCGCAGGTGTGTCCTTTGAAAAGTTTAGCTCAATTCCAAATTCTTTTGCAAGTTTTTAACGAGAGAATCGTTACCGCAAATACAACAAAGTTGCGCAAACAGACAGATGGCGAGACGAACAGACGGACATGTTTAGGTGCGTTCCAAATTTGAAACTGGCCAAGAATTTTTGTACTTTATAGGGTGTTGGAGGATTGCTTCTACGCCTTATAAAAGAACAATTAAATTTTGATCCACTATAATATTGAGTAGGCGTGATCAACTTTTCCCATTGTTGCGCACAAATGCTACAGCATCGCGCACAGAATATGCTTTCAAATTTTCGTATATCGTATATCTGCAATAGTTGATGCGTAACGCGCAAAAAAATAATTTTTCATTCCTTCTGATAAACAAAGGTATTCTTAGTTTACGTAGTGCTGTGGGTGTTTCCTTCGACCGATTTGGTTCATTTTCAGCACCAACTTGCCTGCGAGAAGTTTCGATAATTCTGTCAAATTTGAAGTTGATAGATTCATTTTTGCGGCTAGGAGGATGTTTACAGCAGACATTTCACAGACGGACATGCTTAAGTAGATTTAGACTTTGATGCTCTGGTCTCTGATGCTTTCCTCTGAACAGACGTTGCAAACGTTGTGACAATATCAACATATCCGGTAATGGGTATAGAAGCAAAGGCGTTAAGCAAACAAATTAATTCTGTTTTAGAAGGGAAAAGCATTCTATAACAGGCCCCCAAAGAGCTGTAAAACTTATACTATGTAGATAATATTGTTAAAGATTCTTCAGTATTGTGATATATATATATATATATATATATATATATATATATATTCACTTTTGTTTATTTAAAGAAAAGAAAAATAAATAGCAACGAGAAAACAAAACAAGTAATTTTGAAGCACTTTAAGGGATAAATAATTCCTTGAAACATTTAAATCGGTTGCAGTCTTCGCTTATTAAGTTTTTATTTGTATTCTCATTACTCGCTTGCATAGTAAGGTTTTTTTAAGTAGTTTGCATAGCACTTTCGTGAACAAGATTTTCAATAATAAATGTTGGGTATAATAATTTTAACATGTCATATGTAACGTATGAGAAACAATCTAACAAGCTACAACACTAGATGATAGATATCCGAGTCAAAAAACTCTCTCAGACAATCTTAAAAAATGTAAAAGGGACGAGACTTGGAAAGTCAAATTTATTAATTGATAGCCTTATTCCTGTTGATGAGTACCCATGTATGGGTAAATTTCGTTACTTTACCTTTGGATTGTGCGCATCGACTAAGATAAGAGAAGTCATCTGAGTTAACTTAGGGTATCTCGGTTCGTCCACTATTTTTTACTGCAATGCTTAGTGGCCTTAGTCCTTGTGATGGGAGGAGAAGCGTAAAAATATCAATTCAAGAACACGCCTACAATATCTTAAAAAAAAATCACACGAAGCCAGCAAAACCAGCAAAAATTTCAAAGTACTTGCGCCAAAGCAAAGCCCATCGATGAAGGAACTATGCTGTGACTACTTTCCTAGGCAGTGACGATAGGCACTTATGACTAAGGCGTCTACAAATCGTTTTCCACTTTTCTCCACATCTTAGATGATGAAACAGTATTTTCTCTTTCTTTTTGGAAATTTTTGTTCTTAACGACGACTTGTCGTTATATAAAACAAATGAACTTTGCAAAGAGTTTACACACAAACTTATTATAAACGCATTAAAACGCATTTGAGAATGGGAAAGTTTCAATTGAAAGGCAATAAATAATATTAGTACAGGAAGATGTACTAAATCCAGTTGAAAGAGACGCAACGCAGCACATTTGCGTTTTAGAGTATTTAAGTTTACATATTAAGTATACGTAAACAAGCTTAGACAATATATAACGACAAGAGGTGTTCGAACAGTTTTAGGATTATATTGGCATACAATGCATACGATATACGATATATGACAACAAGAAATTAGAAGCCCTTCAGATATGGATGAATCACTTCAAATAATGGAAATCTATTATAAAAAATAAATTTGCTCAGAATGAATGACGGGCTTCTCCTTCCCGCTCTCCCAAGTACGTAGGGTATTAAAATTGTCTCCTTAAAGGCTTGAATCAGGCACTAACCAGACCGAGTAATCATTCGATGACGATGATGGCTTAATCCAATAATTCAACAAAGTTACTTATTCGATCGTTGCAATGTTAATAAGCCTTAATGGCAATAAGTGTTACGGGTGTGAAAGGCTCTTAGTTCGAGTTCGGGATCAAAAATCGTGCGAATAATCTAAAATGACACGCTGTGTGTTTATTGTAATTTGACACTCATTTTTGAAGGCACTCATATCAAGTTTCAAGGATCAAGGATCAAGTTTAGTTGATCTGACCCATGTTGTGCGGGAAATTGCTTTCTTCTCTGATTAGCTTCCAAAAAATTGTAACAAAACTTATTGATATCAGCACAACAAATTTGTGACAGGCAGTCATCGGCAGTAACGGTAAACCGGAAATCGGATCACCACGTACGGCTAGAGATACAGGAATTATTAGATTGACGCGGGAATGTTCTGTCGCAAACGTTGCAAACGTTTCGACCAAATTATGGCTTTAAAGAGAAACGATGGTAAATGTTGCTTCCGTATCGCAAGAAACATAACTCATAGTCTAAAATCTAACCAAAATAGGTTATGTTAAACGTGGATATATGAAGAAAATTCTATACATATATTTCTAGGGATCGTTGAGATATAGTGGAACTATTTCTAATACCGGGGAATACTTCTCTTACGTCTTTTGTTTTTTTTTTGGTATAAGGGTGATCCCAATCGAATCCGATCCCGATCGAATTACTTGTTATTGCAGACTTATTTATACGTGTATCCATACCATATCCAGACCATAGTCTTATTAAATATCCACGAAATCTTTATCGCATCACTCAAAGGCCGCGATATTTGAATATAATTTTCAAAAGAGAAATTTTTCCCATTTTTATGAAATAACCGCAGGCAAATAAATCATTTTAATGAGCTTTCCTTCATTCTCATCATATAACGTGTTTTACTTAATATTTATTAAAATATTTTCCTTTTAAAAGTGAAGAAAATAATTATCTCGTTTTCTTTTCTTTTTTTTTTTTGTCCATGAAATTTGTGTCATGTTCTCGTCAAGTTATTCTTTAGTTTAAATTGAAAAAAATGTTCTTAGAAAATTAATTATCATAATTTTGCTCATATTGTCAGCTGTTGATGTTAATGCTAATAACGATGATAAATTATAATGGAATGCAAAGAAGAGAGAGAGAGAGAGAGAGAGCAGGTTAACGATGTTGCGAGAAAATTATTTCAATTTTATCACAAATGGGTCATAAAATGAAAATATTTTCGAAACGTAAGAAACTAAAAAATATAAAAATTTCAGAATAGTTTCTACTTGAAATGCTTCGCCTTTGCGGAGACATGATTCCCAGACTAGATCGCCATGCAAGATACTTTAGTGGGGTAAATCAGAAGGAAGAAGCAAGGGGAGGTAGTGAACAATGAGAAAAATACAGACTGATGGGAAAAGAGATTTATTGAAGAACAGCGAACGGATGGTGAAAGATGCCAGGCGAAGAGTGAAAGGAATCTTGGAGGGACGTACAGACGGACAGATTAATGATGAAAATAATAGAAAATTGTGGTGAAAGGAATCTTGAAGGGACGTACAGACGGATAGACCAATGATGAAAATAATAGAAAATCGTGGTTAAACATGGCAACAAAGTAATGCCTATTCATCTGTCGCTAAAGATAAAGTTATATTTATGTCGATAAGTTATAATAAGTCGAAGGTACGTGGAATTTTTCCGAAAAGAGCCTTTAGGCTTTAAGTATATGGTCTACACGGAATATATTGAAGTGTGGGATTATAAGCCTTGGAGGACAGACCTTTCAAATGCAAAAGAGAATATGTTGTCCTTATAACAGAACTTAAGGGAATAATTTCCCAGAAAGCATGGATAAGATCCCTTACGAGGCTGATCGGTCGCAAAAATGTAGGAATCTCTTGAAATTGCGAATCCTTGCAGGTAGGGGTCTTTCCATCTCACCCTATAAGCCTTCTGAGCATCTGTGTTCCTCTCTCTCCCTGCCTTTCCCCAAATGGTGTAAATGTGTGTGCTATCCCCGTGAACCTTCGCAGAGAAGAATTTTTTGAGCTCGAGGAAGTATCGACCAGAAGTACGTTAATATCACATCTCTCCCTCTCTCTCTCTCTCTCTCTTTCTCTCTCTCTCCCTTTCTCTCTTTCTATCTCTTCCTCTCTCTGGTGTAAATATTTGTGCTATCCCTATGGACCTTTGCAGAGACGAATTATTCCACCTTGTAAGGTCGAGCTCGAGGAAGTATGGAGCAGATATACGTTAATATTCACCCTTGCCGTAGGCGAATCTCTTGAATATAGCAGAGTATATTGTGACTACAACAAAAGAAAAGAAATAAAATTATCATCGACGCAAGAGGCCCCACTGGCGAATATGATCGTTGACGTATAAGCCTTAGGAGGCAGATTCCGTGAACATTTCTAACCATTTTAAGCTTTATCTCCCTGCGGACAAAAGGACAAAAGAAGGCAAAAATTTTGTTGTGCCTTGTGCATAGAAAATCTGCAATCTTCTGCAGGAAGGTACACAAGTCCTTCTTAAATTTCTCATTTGCTTGTATTGATCGAACAATTGGACAGAGTCAAGTTATTAACAATTAACATCTACATTCTCATTGGAAAATATTATTTTATCATAAACTCGTTCGGCGACGCACACACGCTATAAATGGCTTATTAATTAAACTTTATTGCATTAAATAGTTTCGCTTACTTACATTCGATTTAGTAAAATTGCAAAGAAAAACCACAACTTTATCCAAAGGGTATGTGTTTGCAAATCAAGTTTGCTTAATCACTCTTTTCACCCTTGAGCCACACTTGAAGAAGCACAGTTTATTATATAATCAATCAACTTTCGAAAGTCGGGATATAATTAAATAAATCTTGATTTGATATAATTTCGCTTATTCCGATGGCTATGGTGCGTAACACTTTAGACTTGTTTTGCTGATGCTGATGCCGGAAGAAAAGAAGATGCCATAGACGTTACCACGGCATTTATATGCGCGTCCGTGAAACGTTTGAACTAAGGATAAAATGCAAAAATTTTATTTATTCTCCGAAATTTTTTTTTGTTTTTTTTTTGTTTTTTTAACGAAATCTTTCTTTTTAGATAATATAATACACCGTTAATGACAACGCACGTACAAGTAGCATACGATTGGGGGGAACACGTAGTGTAGGAATGTATATATGTACAAGAGAATGGCTAATGCATAAAAACAAAATGTTTCAAAATGTTCGTTTGCTGATTAGAGGGCAAAAGCATAAGAACAACAAAAAAGTGTACAATAAAAATAGTTAATGAAATTGTTTACTTCAGTGTTTTCCGTCTTTTGCGTTGACTGAGTGGTGAGTGGGTTTTGATGAAAAGCAAAAGCAATTAATTTTTATTTGTTATATACGGTTAATAAATGACGCGTTTTTTTTTTCTTATTAGATACATTTACACGCCCCGTTGAGTGAAACTGATTTCGACTACTGACCACCGGGAAGAAGCAATTAGAGAAGTCGTGTACTCCACCACGTAATATATATGACGTTTAACGTTTTCGGCGCCCTTGTTTACACTTCTTCTATGCAAACTGACAAAATAACTATGTGCGGCGTAATTATTTTTTCACACTGCTCAAGCAGGTAACGCAACAGGCTGACACTGCAAAGATAACTCTGGACAAAATTGAACAAATGCTTTATTTTATATTACGGTAAACAACACCAACCGAGTCGCCGAATACTGACTGCCATGTACAGCAAAGTGTTAGTAGCACGCGAATACACACGTAAACATACATACACACACACACACACACAAATAAGATGAAATAATACATATGTATATAGGTATTAACACGATTTTTAAGCAAACACAACAATAAGCTGTAGAGCATGCGTAGTGCCGGAAGGGAAATGAAGCTGCTGAACATCGTTAAAGATAGATGTGAAAGATGCGTATGCACGTTGGTTGCGAACGTTGTTGTTATTATAGCGAGGGTGTGCGAAGATGTGTGTTATTAACGGCCTAAAGTTGCAAATAGCATAGCACAATGAAAATCCTGTTGCTTTTTATCAAATACCTCCTAAGGACAACATGTTGCTAAACATGCTATGCTAATAAAAATTTATGAATGAATTTATGTTGCTAGCGATTATTACCGCATCATCTTCTTGTTGCTTATGCTAATTGCTTAATACATACAAACATACCCATAAACACACGCCATAGAATAGAATAGAACTCTAATAGGGGGTCAAGTTTCTTCTCTAGGGAACGGGGGCAAAATTTGACAATCATTACACACGAGCGCTTATGGTATTCATATGTGTGTAATTCAAATATACTTTAAATTATCTCCGTCTACCATTGTTTGTGTGTGACGCACACTCGAACAGGTATGAACAAAAAAAAAAAAAAAAAAATCCTTTAATAATTTTATAATTAAAAATCTTATTAAAATATTTGTTATTAAAAACATGTCATATTTCATTCTTTTATTACAATTTATTTTACGTCAATACCGCTATTGTCTGTCTATATCTATAATCCGTGTCAGTGAAACATATGCGGTGACGCTGTTATATAATGTTATATAATGTCTGACCGCACGTTTGAATAAACAAAAGCTCAAACAATGCAAATTCATTAAATGGAATAACAGATCCTCTACATTATTAAAATGATCATTAAAGGCGCTCAGCTATCGCCACGCCTTTTCGCACGCATAAAAGACAAAATAAGCAAAAAATGTTTTTGATTAAAATTCGAGAAATCCTTTAAAAAAAATAACCGGCCGATTGGAAATCGGAAACGGTGTCTTGGGCACTTGCAGTCTAGTTCAAGTGCATTTGCAAAGAAACCAGGAATCGTAGGAGAATCGCAACATAGCGTGTGTGTCTTTTCAAAATGTGGCTGCATATGGTGCTTGTAAAAATGCCTCTAAAATACTGTTCTTCTCATTATCCTATGGGGAGACTTGTCTATAAAGAAAAAAATTTTTTTTTAAGGAAAAAGTTGAGCGCTTGCAATGTAGATCGACTCTACTTTAGAAAAGAAAATTGAACATCGAGCCCAGTTGTTTTAATAAACGAGCTATACCTGACTTCTCTCTCTCTCTCTCTCTCTCTCTCTCCCTCTCGCACTTTCTCTCTCTCACTCTTTTCCGTACGAATACGATTTCTTTAACAAGGGAAAAGTTTACTGAGTCGCTAAACAGGTGCTTCATCGTAACAACACACACACACACACACACACACAATTGCGAACTAAGAAAGAAGAAAAGTTCGAACGAAAAACACGAAACCCTGAAACAAAAACGACGCTTGAGACGAATAAGAATTCTCTGGGTGAACGATTTCCCTTCAGCGCTTTTCCTTCCAGCGCTTTACGATCGTCCATATAATAGACGAGCAAATTTTAATCGTATTCGACGGGTGCCAACTCTCGCATACCCTTACTATGCTTTTCGCATTCTACTCTCCAAGCTCTCTTATTTGATACCCATATCTCTGGTATTGTAAAGAAAAAATTAATCGCATTATCCGTACGCCATGTTCATGTTGGAATGAATCCATTTTTAGGCAGATAATATATCTTCTTCATTTGGGGGGAGTGTATAAAATAGTTTTAAATAGCTTTTGTGTTCTTCGCCTTATGATAAGTAAGCGTATTAACCTCAAAAAAGTGAAAACACGAAAATTTAATCATTTGTATCCTTGTGTGGGCGTGGCTGGCCTTTTCTATGTTTGCACGTAAAGGGTGGACTGCTTCGTGTGAAAAATTTCAGCCTACTCAACTTTACTAATACCCAAGTGATAAGCAAAAACCCGGACAAATTTTGGTTCCAAAAAAAAAAGAGGAATTTCGATCAGTTGATGCTCGACTGCGGGCTTCTGCACTGACCAGACCGTTTTCAATAACAATCTGCGTGCAAGAATTTCCAATGTTTCGACCAAGTCTTCGTTTTTGCGACCAAGAGAGGGCCATCACCAAACACCACAAAGACGTACAGACGGACAGACATGGCTAAATCAATTCACAATTTCACGTTGATCACGGTTGTATATACTTTATAGGGTCTCTGGTATACGTTATGAAAAAAGACAAAATGATCACTGGAAGGTATAACGAAGCGAAAAAATGCATTTTTGTTTTTTTGTTTTCCTTTTCAAAACAAAGACGTAGTGAGTTTATGTTGCACTGCGGACGAATCGTTTGAACGGAACTTGTGAGAGAAACTTACGCCCAGGAGAACGTTTACCCATGGCGAAGAGACAGAGGCGCACTTATATCGAAACCTCTGAAGCTTTCTTATGGGTGTTGCAAGCTTTTCGACGAAATGAATACAAGTCTGTCCTTCGTAGTTCGATATAAAAAGCAACGGGTATGTACGTCAAATAAAACTTATATCCTATGCGCGTGTAATCTCTCTCTGTCTGTCTCTTTCTTTCTCTCTCTCTCTCTATCTCTCTCTATCTCTCTCTCTCTCTATCTCTCTATCTCTCTTTCTCTGCAGAATATATTGCAAAACATTTATTTAATTCCTTCCTTTTAATCATAACTTTGTCCACTCATCTGGAAAGTTTGATTTATTTCAATAAATTTCCAATTTGTTGCATTTTAAAGGAAAACTAAATAAAAATGTTGCATAACGTCGTGATACCCTGTAGTATAGCAGGAAATGTCTTTTAACTTTCGCTTCCCCAATGATCTTCGAGGTTGAGCATCGGCCACAAGCCCCTTCAAAAGGCTTATTATTCTTTAATGTAAAAAATTAAAAATAGTTCTATACGCGTCTTGGGAGGAATTGTACCTATTCCTGAAATGCCAAAGATTTCAATCAATCAATTAATCATATTGGGTAAAAAAGACGAAGATTATTAGCTCGGTCTTAAGCACTTGAAGTGCAATCTGAATGAATATTAGGTTTTTGGGAAACGGGCTAAAAAACTTGCAGTCGCTTTATGTTGATAAATATGTAAAGAGTTTATGCATTTAAGACGTTATTTGAAATGTGTAAATGTATGTTCGCTCTTGAGGTGTTTATAGCAGGGCGATGTACTAAATTTCATCAAATTATCTCGAAAATTACGTAAACTGATCAAAAGAGCATACAAGGAACGGGCGGACGGACAGACAGACAGATAGACAGTTAGATAAACTTAAAAATCGTCTTTTAATATGCGAGATACGATCTTCGTTCCCAAGTTCTTTTCGCACTGGTTCGAGAAAATCCGTTTCGTCAGATCCTGACCAATGAAACTCGTTACCATTTAATATCAAGGCTATGGTAAGTGCGCGTAGCTTCAGAGCTGCAATCAAAAAACAAATCTTACAATTCTAGCTTTAATTGCAATTATATTTAATTTTATTTTGCAATTATTTAACGATTAATTATTAATTAATAAACTTAAACTGAAGCTTCAACAAGTAAGAAAATTATATTCGATTGTGACCGAATCTTTTCCATCTCATCCATCGCGGTTATCCTACAAAAGACGAAAAAAATATAATGCTCTATGATAAGCAGTAGGCGCGGCTGATCTTTTTCTGTTTACACAATATAAGTGTGTGTATAGGCGTATAGGCGTTTGGGCGTTATAGGCGTGTCCTTTGAAAAGTTTCAGTCGTTTCCAAAATCTTTTGCAATTTTTTAGGCGATTTCCTCATTTTCGCCACATACTACTACTCAGTTGGACAGACCGACAGACAGATTGAAAAACGGACAGACAGACATGTTCAGATGCATTCTAAAATATGAAACCGCCCAAGAATTTACATATTTTAAGGAATTTTTAAAGCCTGTTCCTGCGCCTTGTAAAGGGATTGAAAAAATTACATTTTCAAACACTATTGGGAAGGCTTGGTTAATTTTTGTAAAGGTGCAAAATCGCCCACTGAATATGCGTTCATCTATCTGCTATAGTCTGTGAGTAATGAGAAAAAAAACGAATTATTTATTCCCCTGTGCCCTTTGACTGATTTCGCCCATTTTTTTAATACCAACCAATGTTTCTGCTAACTTTGAAGCCGATAGCCTCATTTTGGCGGCCAGGAGAATGTTTGTTGCAATGGACAGGCACACGGACGGACCTGCTTAAATCGATTCACAACTCGATGCTGATAAAGGATATATTTTTTTAAATATATAAAGTTTCGGATGCCTTTTCCTAAGTGTTGCAAACGTTTTGACAAAATGAATATGCCATTCATCCTTGCGTGATACATATGAAAATGTTAATAATAGAGTTGGCGGAGATGAATTCCTATGCGTTTTAACATGTCTGCGCAATTGAATTCTGTTGGAAAATACTTTATGCTAATGTTCTTATGTTATCGCCTGAAGTATTCGTTTCGTTTCTTTCTTCTTCTTCTAAGCACAGGAAGCAATGTTTCGGCTGTGCGTAGCCTTTAAGAAATTAAGTATCAGTTATGCGCAAAAAATTTTATATTTTATCCGGTTAAGCAAATTCCATAAGTTTTGATTGTTTATGCGCGAGGCATCTGCCTGCATTCATTCATTCATTATTTTGCTGTCGATAATAATAGTAATGTGTATGTATGTAATAAATGTTATAAATAACTTAAAGCTCTTTACACTCATGTAATGAAATTGGAGTACCATAAAATCTCTGCAATTAACGTACAAATTTTCCACATAGCTTGTACATATTCTGATAATCATGTATACGTTGGAAGAAAAGGGTCGAAAATATGTATTGGTTTTTAAATATCAGATTTCATTACAAAACTTAAACGAATGCGAATAAAAGATCCAGATAAGATTACGCGAAATGTATATTTTTCTGTAGGGACATGCAACCTTGATAATTTTGCAAAATATGAGAGTGAAATATTCATTCGTACTATGTCGTAGGTAAAGATTTTAACAGAGATTTTTTCTTTAGGAAAATAGATCAATGTGTAAGATTTTCCTTTTTACTGTTTGTTGGTTTTTTTTGTTTTAATTTACCGCAAACTTTAATACACCAGAGAGAACTAAATAGCAAGAGATGCCAAGATTATATTTAAAATAGTGTAGCAGTGTCCATCTTAAACACTTTTCCGTTAACGTAACATAGAAGTAGTCCGCTTGCTCTGCAATTCTGTTAAACATTTCGCACTCTATGTAAAGCGAGATCACATAAACTTTTATGCTGTTAAGTTCACACGTGCCATGGTATATGACATATGACATATGAGTATATGTGCGAATAACTCAAAGATCAGGAAGCAAATCCACTTGGTTTTCATTTCATTGTTAATTGATGATTGTTAAATTGTACGCTTTCTTTGACGATTCTGTCACGATTTCTAAATTTCATATATATTCTACCAACTGCTCCAATCGATTTCGCCAGAGAAATAAATTCTAAGACTGTCAACTAAGGCTATCGGCTTTTATTAAAAACTCTACCGCACTTGAGATTTGAACTCCACGACCATTGAGTTGCTAGTCGAGATTCCTCGCCTTCGGCCCCTCAGGCGGATGAGACTTATAAGTTAATAAAGCGCCTCTCACATAAACCATCAAAATGAAATTTGTCGTAGTAGCTACGTCCTTCCTTCACATTTGCATTTGCACATCAAGTTCAATCTTTTCATGTACTTGGGATTTTGTTAACAGTCTATGCTCCTTTTAATTTATATATTAAACAATTTATTTGAGCTCGTCTGTCCTTATTGTTTACTTCAGGAAAACCAATCATTTGTAAAAGAATTAAAGACAAATTTGGTCATTCCCCTTTCTGAAGTACGTGTATTCGCGATTGCTTCAATTCTTTAGCGAGGGTGACAGTGACAACATAGCAAATATCATTCACTTTATTTATGATGATTATCAACTAATTGCGTAAACTCATAATAAGGTTACCTTCACCTATTTATAAAATAATCGATCTTTACATGCAAAGCGATTTCCTTAATACTTGACTTACTTAAGAGAATATATGAAAAAAAAAAGCTAAGAACGGATGCCTATCACTTAAGCAAAATCGATTTGATAAGTCGAAGTTTAGCTAACTTTACAGCGATGTAATAAACAATATGAGAGTAAATAATGGAGATAATGAATAAATGAATAAACAAATTGTCCGTTACAAGAATATACTGACAGAGAGAGAGAGAGGCTATAACTTAAAATAATAATAATAATTCATCTCGTGGTTTCTTTCTAACATTTCTTGGAAAATCCCTTCATCTCCTCTAGCGCCTAAACATTCTATATATATATTTAAATAAATTTACGCAACATTTTCTGTTTGCAATATGCTTTTGTATCTCGATACCAAAAAAAAAAATGTCAAATATAAGCAGAGTTAAACATCGAAACCTTATTAAACGTTATTAAACATTATTATTTTGACTGGACGATTTTTTCAATTCCCTGTCATATATAGTATTATGGAGTTTCATGATGAACATAGATCTAAGATAATGATTTTATATACAAACGCTCTTTTTATTTGAAATTTTTTTAAATTTTCTCAATTTTTCACTCAATTAATATTTTTGAGTTTCTTTTCTTTCAGTTTTTTTTCGCAATTTTTCAATTCCTACAACTGCTTTGTACATTAAATTAATTTTATAACTACAAGCAGCTAATGTTAAAGGCCCAACTTAATCGACAAAAGGGATACGATTCTGTTAAATAACAGACCAAATGCCCAACTTTACCGACAAAAGTGATTCGATTCTGTTAAATAAGAGACCAAAGGTATTCATTTCTATTAAATAATAGACCAAAGGGATTCGATTCTGTTAAATAACAGACCAAAAGGATTCGATAAACGTGATATTACGAATTATTTAAAACGCCATCTTTCAGTTGATAGTTAGTTGGCTTAAGGCTTTATTGCAGAATTATAGTTGTCATTTCATGGAGTTGCCGCTGTCATTGCATTTAGTTTATTTATCCCAATAGGTGGTAATGTTACAAATTTACACTCTTATTAGCAACGCTGTACACATTGCTAAAGAAAAAACAAAAATGGCGTTGAATTGTGTTGCATTCTGTAAAATGTCTGAGAAAACGTGAATTTTCTTCATAAATCGAATTAAATAATTTAATGTGTATTGATGGGAATTAAGAATGTATCTTCTATTTCAACTTAAACAACAATTGCAAACAATTTTTTTATTAAACTGATTGGAAATGTTAAATTGAAAAAATGAAAATTACGTGACTTACGAGAAAAGAAGCAGCATTACATACTGTTAGCAATTGCTTTGCTATAAGTTAACGTGTGCTGAAAGGAGATAGCCGATAATATGATAACATAAACGGCATCGTGAAAAAACTTAGCGGTGCAGTGATTAAAAAAATGCGATAAACTTTTGGCAAAATAATACGTGGTTGGATTTACGCAAAGATAAACCAATTGATTAAGTTATTAAATATGAACTATTAAATAACATTAATATTTATTGCAATTAAGGGGGAAATATTTTTTTATTTATTCTGGAAAAGATTTTCAAATAAATGTAAAGCAAAATAAACGTAAGCAAAAATTTGATAGAAGAAGGATAAATCGCAATCTTTATATAAAAAAACAGCAAAAAATAAACGGCAACCGCTAAAAGGAGTAATTTTAAAATTTTACTGCGTGCTTTAATTGTTTAATTATCTTCAATATTAAAGTTCAATACAGATATGTCCGGCGGTGGACGGGAATCCACTAGCGGCGGCAGCACTCATAGCACTCATAGCAATGGCAGCAATAGTAACGGTGTTTCGTCATCAGCAGTGGCCACGACGCCGACTTCAACGGGGCAATCAGTAAATCAAAGATCGCGCGGCCGTCCCGCCAAACGTGCAACTTGTACATGGTGTGCGGAAAGCAAACAATTGCTGCAGTATGTCTTACCCACTCAAAATGGCAAGAAGGAATTCTGTTCGGAAACATGTATAGCCGAGTTTCGCAAGGCCTATAGTAAAGGCGCTTGTGCACAGTGTGATAACGTTATACGCGATGGAGCACCTAATAAGGAATTCTGCTCGCTGATGTGTATGAATAAACATCAGAAAAAGAATGGTTCTACGCGGTCTGTTAATAACGGGGCTAGAGGGGATTCAGAGCGTAGCAAAGCTATGGGTGGTGGTGGCTCATGCATTCCGACTGGACCTTTTCAGTATGAGAGTTTTCATGTTTTCAATTGGGACGCATACTTGGAGGTAAAAAGTTATTAAAGGAATTCATTCTTAATGTTTTTATAATACTCGTTCAAAACAAATTTGCAGGAAACGGGTAGCGCGGCTGCTCCTGCAGCTTGTTTTAAACAGGCTGGTAATCCGCCCGTTAACGACTTTAAAATCGGTATGAAACTTGAGGCTTTAGATCCACGTAATGTTACTTCCACTTGCATAGCTACGGTAGTGGGTGTATTGGGCTCACGTTTACGTTTGCGTCTAGATGGCAGTGACAGTCAAAACGACTTTTGGCGTTTAGTCGATTCGAATGAGATCCATGCGATTGGTCATTGTGAGAAAAACGGCGGTATGTTGCAACCACCACTTGGTTTTCGCATGAATGCCTCCAGCTGGCCCGGCTACCTGTGCAAGATACTCAACAATGCCATGGTGGCGCCGGAAGCGATTTTCCAACCGGAACCAGCTAACCCTAAGGAAAATCTCTTTTGTGTGGGCCAAAAGCTCGAGGCGGTCGACAAAAAGAATCCTCAACTGATTTGCTGTGCAACAGTTGATGCGATCAAAGACGACCAAATCCATGTGACATTCGATGGGTGGCGTGGAGCGTTTGACTATTGGTGCAGTTACAACTCGCGGGATATTTTTCCCGTGGGTTGGTGTGCCCGTAGTTGTCATCCTATGCAACCGCCCGGTCATAAATCACGCATGGATTCCAACTCGAGTAAACACCGCAGCCCTCGACAACGTTACACCTTCATACAAGAATCAGACGCGATGGTGCCGGCATCACCGGTAACAGCCCATTTTCATACTAATTGTAAAGGTGGACCTTTTATTAATAGCTCTAAGCTACCATCAATGGTCACGGGGCCTACACATCAAACTCTCGCTAAATTATGTTTGCAAGAAGTGCTGGCTGCCAGTACAGATACACAACAATTGTCTAAACTATTATTTGTTTTGGACGGCGATGTGCACATAGTCACAGCGGCGGGTAAGAATTTCACGGTAAGTGCAGGCAATCAAATAATCTTCTTGTTCTTTGCTAATTGTTTATTTCATATTTTAGGTTAAAATTCCGTCACCACTACGTATGAAAGATGACGAGAGTTTAGCACAATTCATTGAAACTTTATGCACAACATGCGGGGCATGCTCCAACTTAATATCGCTTACACCTGATACTGAAGATTGTGAGAAATGTGCGAATTCAAAAAAAAGGCATAATAGTCAAACATCGGGTGGCACTGCATCCCCGGTGGTACCTGAAAAACGCAGCAAACTTCAAACAACTTCAGAGAAGGTTAATATTAAGCAAGAAGCGCCCACTTCGACGACGGCGACTGTACATATTGCAAATGTGTTAAACAATGGAGATGAGAGTGGGCCAGCGGAAACAACATCCGTTACTATTAATAACAATAGTAATCCAACGTCGTCCTCCTCACCACCAGTAGCCACGTCGCCATCCGCAAAACCAGAAGGGAACAATACAGGTAGTATCAGCAGCAGTATTCGTAGTGACAGTAACAGCAGTGCTAGTAGTACTAACAGCAATGTTTCGGCTACCGCACATGTTAAAACTGAGCCAAATGCTAACGCAGGCAATGGAGAGTTGTTGCAGGTGAGAATTTTAAAAGAGATGAGATAGTGTTTTTTTTTTTTTATGTATCGGAGTAACTTTATTTATTTATACTTCGTTCAGACCGGTTCACAAGTTCAAGTACTGAGGAAGGTACGCATACACCATCACGGCTCAACATCATCTTTGCCAACGTCCGCTTCGTCATCGTCTTCTTCGTCGGCGTCACCGCAGGATGAACGTGAAAAGCATCCAATTAACATTAATCATAGAAACAATAATACGAAAATAAATTATTTGGCGCCGCTGGTCGCAGAAATACAACCAGAGCAGTCTAGCATAATAGCTACGGCTGCTACCTCAACTTATAAATCACCTTCAGCTCTCTCATCCAGCGCGTCCTTGCCTACTTCGGTTTCGATACCGTTTTGTGCTTCGCAATCACCGTCATCGACGGCAACTGTGGCCGCTGCACCCGCAGCCGCGATAGTACATGCTTCAACTTCAAGTTATATTGGAGCAGGAGGCACTGGAATTACGCATTTGCCTAATATATCTGTTAATTTAAACGCACCCACGGCCGCTTTGCCGCCACTGCGGTCGCATCCCGGCGATTGGTCTATCGAAGAAGTTATACAGTTTATTGAGACGAATGATAGCACACTAGCTGTGCATGGTGATCTTTTCAGGAAACATGTAAGTCTGTGATAGTGTGTCGACATATTTCAATAGTTTCAACATTAAATAATTTGTAAATCCAATGAAAGTGCTCTTACGACTTTAAAATTCTGCACCACTAGGCCTGCTGTCTCAATAATGACACTCCACAAATGCAAAGACTAGGCAGAGAAAGAGAGAAACGATATCATCCTTAAAACTTGCACTTGTCAGAGTGCTTCAGTTATTTATTTTAATTACACCTTACACCGTTTGTGGTACATGGTATGTTAACGTAGTGCAGTCGTATGTAGCGCGCAGAAGGGTTTGTCTATGCGTCTGTCCGTGTAATGTCTGCTCATATAAATTTGTGTTCGGGCTACAGGTCGCAATTTTTGAGATATTTCGACGAAATTTGGTACAGCAACGTGTTGTGGCCCAAGGACAAAATTAAAATGGTACGGATCGATCCTCTTTTTCGACCACTCCCTATATAACGCTCTATTCCGAAAAGTCGTTATATGGGAAAAAATTGTGTTTCTCAAAATTTCTCAGCAAATGTCGTTCAGTAGTATTTCGGCATTCTAAATTGATATGAAAACTTTGTGGACCAGCTGTGGCAATTTTTGAACCTCCTCATATAACGAACACTGAGGTTTACAAGACAAAAAGGTATAATTTTCAACGAAAATTACATCATAATAGTAATTTAATATAAAAAAATTCACTGTACCAAATTTGGACCACCTCGGCCTATTTTTTGAATCTTATCCTAATAAAAATTGATTCTATGCAGAGTTTAACGGGTGGGTGTGGAAACTGATCCATAATATTATAGTAATTTCATACAAAAATGAAAAATCTGCAATATTTTGACCATCTACGGCTATTTTTGGATCCTGCTCTATGTAAGCATCAAACTTGTACTACATTAGGTAGCGTTTTGGGCTTGCTTCCCCATAAATATTGGGATGAAAAATATGCCTTTATAAAGAAACAGGAGATAATTGTTGTCTTCTATAATAAAAATAAGAACGGTCGACCTTGCCCGACCCGACTATAGTGTTCTTGCTTGCTTTTTAGATAAATTTAGAAAAATCGGCCAATTCCTAGCCCCTACAAGACGATAAGGTCACCTTAAGCGCTTCGAATCCGATCCGAATAATGTTTTGTAACCTTGGAGTTTCTTCAATAATTCAATCAAGTTTATCGCCATGCAAAGTCCTTAGTTATTCCTTAGTTTTCGTACTACTTTGCAAAAAAAACTTATATCGAAATTATGATGTGAGTGTGTGTATTCACTTATGATATATATCCTTCTTGCAAAGAGTCGCTCCCATAAACATGTTTCCATGCACCTACTGCACATATAATTCGCAACTGCTTAAAATGGCAAAAAATTCTTCAAATTTTGCTTAGTTGGCCATGAAAATATTGTACTAACTTTTCTAATGAAATATAAAAAAAAAAAAACCATTTCTTCTTATCATTTTCAATTCGATATTCAATCGGTATTCTTTCGATTTGTCTGTCGCACTGACAGAAAGAAAAAATCTTAGTATACTTATAAATAACGTTTCGCACATCATATCGGAATTTCAATTTTTCTCAAAAGAAAAAACCGGTTTTAAAAATGTTATTGTTGTTGTATTTTAAAAAACTGTTTTTCATTTTATTCGTTGCACCTTTTATTTTCAAACAATCATTCGGTGGTATTGAGGAAAAAAAAGCTTAGCATTACATTATATGGAAGGATTCATATCGACGGAATTGCCATCGGTTTCGCAATATCTCGTTAACCAAGTAGAGAAGTGCGAACAACGAAATCCAAGGATATGTACAAGCCTTTACGCAGATAAAGAAAAGGTTGCAATGCGAAATGAAAGAAATTAAACCAAAATCGATATTAAGTCAAGGCGGACGCCTTCGAAAATGCCTGTGAAAAAAAAGTCCAATAGCAATAAACGACAGAAGACAAACGTCTTCTGTACTATTGTTCATATTAATAAATAAAGATTGTGGTAAGCATTGTTTTCGTCCATTGCTATCTTCTATCATCGTTTTTCGAGAGCTTCGCAACATTTTCGAATTGCATGAATGCTGGCTGGCTGGCTGCCAATTCTCTAAATTAACTACGAAAGAGTGTAATTCTCTAAATTAACTACGAAACGCAAAATATTCGCAAACCTTTCGTCGATTCTTGTAGAAGCTGATCATAGTACGCTACGAGGCATTAGCATTTTTTCCACTCAATTGGAAATAAATAAAAAAATAACTTGAAATCAAAATTTTATGCTTAATTGTGGGCGTTCTCTTCTTCTTCTTATTGCATATGGCCCCAGATTTCTTTGTGTGGGCAAGTGACAATTCGTTTACGTAATTGGCCGACGTTGTTGTTCCACTTAACAACTTTTACATCACGCATGTCTTGCGTCCGCCCTCCTTCATGGATACGAGGCATTAGCAAAAAGATTAACTGTACCAGATATGGACTATCTACCCCTTATTTTTGGATCCTGCCTTATGTAAGGAGTAGACTTGAGCAACATTAGGTTGTATTTTGGGCTCGCTTCCCCATAAATACACACATCAAAAATATAGCCTTTATGTAGAAACGTGATATGAATTTTGTGTTCTATAATAAAAATAAGAATTGTGGTGCCAGGATATTTAATGGTCGTTAATGCCCGACTATAATGTTCTTATTTCTTTTTAAATAAAAAATTGATTACCCACAGTATTAAGATATTATTATTATTATTAAGATATTACGGGTGTCTTATTATTATTTATCTTTCTGTCTCTGGAATAATTGAGGGACGATTCCATCTGGCCATTTAGCATTCCTTGACAGCTAAACTTTGTTGTGTTCGTAAAAATTGTAGTCAGCAGAAGAAATTATTATTATATACATTAAAATGATATATCCATGAGAAAAACAAGCTAACCACAGTTATTAATCTTTACCTATATATAAAAAAAAAAAAAAAAATTCTTAAATTACATTAAAGAGTCTTCAAATTATTAACGATTTTTCTCATTTTATTAATTTTTAGGAAATTGATGGCAAAGCCTTGTTATTGTTAACCACGGAGATGATGATGAAATACATGGGTCTTAAACTTGGACCGGCCTTAAAAATCTGCAATTTAGTAAATAAAGTCAATGGACGTCGTAATAACATGTCCCTGTAAATATAATTATAATATATGCATAAATGTCGTAGCATAGAAACCTGTTTTACTCTAATCCTCTAGCATTCAAATTCCCATTCTCCCAAACCACATTTAACCATATATTTCAAATTGGATCAAAAATAATACTGAAAATCTAAATATCTCTTTGAACCTCAGAATAATTGCAAAAAATTAGATTTGCTTTAGGGCAAACCTAAGATACCCTACCTAAACACCGAGCTTTCATCCAAGAAAATCGAAGAAAAAACCGAATACATCCAGGCATTGTAAGCCCCAGGCTCAAGCTTTTGTTTCTAATAAATCGTATCTGCGATTATGAATACAAAAGATTTGTCCTGTTTTGTGTATATGAAAGAATGAAAAAGAAACTTCTCCAGTTATGGGTATCGGAACTGAAAAGCATTTGCATTTGCATAAAACCGGCATAAATATAAGGTTATTACATATATAATGGAAATGTTGTTTATATAAGAACTTTACGTAATCTCTAAAGTCAAGTCTGCTCTAAATAAATAAGAAGCGGGTTTTCTATTTTTTTTTTCAATTGTATATAAAAAAAATTTAGTTTTATTGTTTTTAAAATTTCTTTTATTTTCATTTTTTTTTTTTTTTGTTTTTTTGTTTTTAAGTTTGATGATTATTTATGCATGTTTTTGTATTCGCCATTGTCCTAAAATTAAAAGGTTTACACTGTTTGTCCGCTCAAATCAATGAAAATTAAGAACATTTGTTCAAACGTACATTGGGAAAACGTAATCTTTTCGTTCAGCTAATTAAAAGTTATTGAACTATTTTAGTGAATATTATTCGTGTTATTAGTTATATATGTTTTTAATTAAATCTCACTTCTCACATATCCAGCTATATAAATTTTGCATAAAATTACTTTTATTGTTGGAAATATCTTTTTTAGTTAAGAGAGAGCCGTGCTAATCTCCAAAAAAATGTTTTCGTTTCTGAACGAATATAAAATATATGTATACATACATATTTATATATTTTAATTTTATATTTATTTTTCAATTTTTTGTTTTCATATTCCATTTATGTAAATCTAAAAAGCCAAGGAAATGTTAAACATTTGCGAAGAATATGAATGAAGAAGAAAAAATGTCAAATGCTCTTTAGTATTAATTAAAAAATGTTTTTTCTTAACAAAATTATTGATTAAATTTGTATTCACATTTTTGTATCGAATCGAGAAAATGATTATTTCTGCAATAGTTTTTTTTTTTTTTTTTTTTTTTTTTTT